ATATATATATCCATTTCAGATGCAATTAAAAAGTATGGTATATTAAAAACAAGACTGCCTTAAAGATAAACAAGAAAAAAATCCCATTCAATTGAATCTAGAGAGAAAATACATTGAAAGCAAAAAGTTATAATTATCGTCACTGCTTCGTTTTCCAGCAATTAAATTCCTACTACAGTATGTATTAAGTTGTGTTCACATAGATAAAGGGCAATAGGCTTTCTTAGGTCATAAAATATATTTCATTCTGGTACAGATGATCATTAAAATACATTTCATACTGTGCATTAAAATGCAGACAAGTCCAAAACTTTTTAACTCAAAAAGTATGCAAGTAATTTTACCAATGGGAATGTTTTATAGTACACTTTACATTACAACTCAAAATATTTTTTTTTTTTTTTTTTTTTTCCCTTTGGCAATCTGTCAATGTACATGGTTAGTTTGCAGTTGTATACCTCCGTGGTTTGACCAAATAAAGCCCAATTTAAACCGGGCTAATGAGTGAAATTACAATCCATGATCACAGATATTGGAGAGCAAGCATAATGCATAAACCCATGCATGCATTCATCCATTACATCATACATTCGTAAAACATTTTTTGCAACCTGCTATTTTCAATGGGTACTTAGGGAATTAAAGTCCTTACTTCAGTATGATTAAAGTTTAAAGTTAAAAAACACATCACTTAAAAAAATAGATATAAATGGAAAAGTCTACATGAATTATTTACGTTGCCAGCAATAAGTACAACGACAGGTGGTAAATGTAGTCCAAATTAAGAATATTGTGATCAGCCCAATAGCTTAATGTGTCTGCATAGAGATTCTTATACCTATTGAATTGATATGTTAGAGGGTATCTCTTTTCTAGTCTAGAAAACTAATATTAATACTCTTGGGATTCATGCATAGACATTGACATAATTGAAATAGACATAGAAATATTATTTTGTTTCTTATTATTTGTCAGACTCATTATAAATGTGACATTCTGAGAAATTCAATCAAGATCTATAGATATTCAGTGTCCTTTGGTGTTCACAAAATAGGTCAGGATTAACTTACTGTATTAATGATGATTAGCACCAGCTACCTAATTACTTAACCAAGGCATACAATCCAATTACCATAAACTTATATTATAGCTACTTAATGTAAGCATGGGATCTGTTACTCAGTTTTTTATACAAAGATATTCAAAGAAAATAAACATGAGAAAACAAAAATAAAAAATGTCTTGTATGTACTTTTGCGTATTATATAGGTTGCTGATACATGCACTGCGCTATGCGCTTTTTGGTTACAGTTTAGCTTACACGGACGTCACACTGCTAAAGGGGTAAATCGTAATAACTACATAAAAAATTGTCAAAACGATTTTAAAGTTGATTTTATTACAAATGACATTAAAAAATCTCCTAGAAAAAAATATTCATCTTTCTAGTTCCCTTTGTCAGGTCTTACAGTATTGTGTAATGACAGACTTCAAAATGGTAGACATGTTTGATACTGATATTTCTTGAAATTTGTTTGCATGCCATCAATAATATATGCTGTGGGTTTTGTAGATTTTCTCATATGCACCATTTACAATAATTAATTTATTTACAGCATTGACACAAAAATATTTTGAGTTATCTATCTATATATCAAATATATTATCTACATATTTCTTATATGTATATATGCCTTTAAATATTTATGTTTGTGTACTTATTGCGCAATATAAATAAATAACCTTAACCTTATATATTTATATATTCAATTACTAGTAATTTATTCTCAATTTCTACACTACAGCATTAATATTTCATTTTATAACATTGAATCATTATTAGCACTAAGATTAAAGTCGTCTTGTAATAAAATTATCACATCAACATCACATGTTTTTCTTTATCTGACTTCACCTTTTATAATCACTTGACGCTAATCATAATAAGTGCAATTTTTGGTAATGTTTGCTTTAAAATCAAATAACTGCTCGATATATTCCCATCAACTTATAAGGCCACATTATAGATTCCCAGAGAGTCCACATATAACACAATCATGCATAGTGCATTCTTCTCATGTATCAAATATTCCACCTGAGTAACCTGAGTTGAAATGATGAAACTAGATTAATGACATAAAACTTAATATTATTTCTAAAGCAGGGCAAGTTTAACTAATTGGATTTATATCTCATCAGAATTTATCTGATAGTATTAGTTTGCATTAATTGTTTCAGACAAATTATCTGGCTTTTAATGTCTGTTGCTGAGAATACAGGCCAACTCATACCCACAACCGGTACCCAAAAAGACAGTGCTATCTCGTACCCATTAATGTAGGGGCGCTATTATAGTTTGAGTGACAGGGCTGTAGATAAGCACTTAAGTTCAGTGTAATTTTGCAAAATTTAAAGTGTTTCAAAAATTAGATTTTTTTATTGATAGAAACTTGTAGTATAGTAAGTTGTATTTATTTTTACATTTCGTTTTCGCTAAAGCAAAGGTACGAATACGCGTGGGTACGAGTTAGCCAATTTTGGCCACAAGTTTTGTGACAAAAGCTTTTTATTGTTTGTAAACTGCAGTGTTCACAGGGATTCATATTTTAGCTTCACTCAGAAAATTTAAGTAATATTGAGTTTCTTTTCCCTCTTCTCTGACCTGAGGGAAATGTGGGTGGGAGTGTGCTAGTTTTGTGTATTTGCAAGCATGTGGGTGGGAAGTTTGCATACTGCTTTTGTACTTGCATAGTGCATGTGTTCATTATTGAATGTTACAAGCTTATTACTTAATTTCTTATTCAATCTGATTAATAATAAAGTATCTGTAGTTGAAATATAATCTAAGATTACTTAACATTATTTTTTTAAATACTACTACCACTACCACATATTTAATTATATTATCTTCATCACCACCACCACTACCTCCATAATCAACATCATCATCATTATTACTTTCGACGTCATACCAAAGTATTTAACCTAAGCCTACAGTATCTGGCTGGTGTATAAAGAGAGTGTTGTCATTATTATTACTTTTTATTATACTGTACTGTAATATATATTCAATAAAACCACAGATGAGGTGGTTAATTTGACCATAGGTCTTTCTCAAGAGATGACTTGAGAAAGACCTATGTTATTATTATTATTGTTATTATTATTAATATTGTAGTTTTGATTTTCTTTACCAGCAATAAGTGAGCAAGCTATCAGTGAGGCTGGAGAAGAAAAGAAGGAAGAAGGAGAAGAGACAGAAGGAGAAAAGACAGAAGGAGAGGTAGATATTCTGATAAAAGATGTACATGCTATTAATAACTATTTTGTATTAGGGTATAAAATTGGATAATTCAGAACTATTTTTTTTTTTTGCCTTTTCATAAATTGGCACATGAAGCCCATAAACAACATAACCTTATATACTTACAATCCTTTTTATACCAACCAATATGTGTGGCAAAGATAAGCCAAACCAGTCACTCGTCGCAAATCGTGTTTAAGAGATAATGGCCAAAACATGCTGATATGTCACAATTTTTTTAATCTATTTTATTGCACTAAACTAACCTTTATATATATACATCATGATATACTGTTATTTTCCATATTTTCAATGTTAAAGCAACAATTTTTTACAATTTGGTGATGGTTTCAGCCTAAGAAATGCCCAAAATCATAAACTTTAAAGGCTGATTTCTCAAATATTGTTCTTTAAACAGCTGCATCTTTAAACTCCTGTAGCTTCATAACGAAATGTTTGATTTAAATGATTCTTTCACCATTTTATAGCTCTCATTTTTTTGTTTAACTCTGTATTAATAACTAAAAATCAGTTTTTGCAATGAGTGACTGGTTTGGCTTGTCTTTTTTGTAATTGTGAACATAATATCAAAAGATCATTTAACCAAATGAAGACATTTTTAAATTTATTTTTTTTATTAAAATTTCTACTATTCATTTCTTTTTTGAAGACTGAACAGCCAGTGGAGAAAGTAAGTGTATTGTTGATGTGGAAGCAAATACATATAAATATCACAGTTTTATTTGACCTTCAGTTCCACAGATCTGCACAAAATATAATACACCTTCTGGAAGAATTTCTAAAGCCCTGCACAGATTACCAAATTTTCTTTTGACAAAAAACTGTTGTATGCCCATATATAGTCATGATTTGCCTATGTATGGTCATGATGTGATGTCATCATGACCATATTTAGACATGTCACATGTTTTTGTCAAATAAATTTTGATAGTCTGGACAGGTCTTTATCTAACGAATACTATTATTATTCAGTTATTATATCCTTATCTCCTTTGGTTTGATGTTTTCTTTATAACTTTTATAAATAACACCTAACGCTGGTATCCATCTAAGAAGAGACATTCACAAATACTCTGTAATAGTATTCTTTCATGCTATTTTTCTAAGTTAAGCTCTATCTACACTAAGAATTTTTTATGTGACAAAAAATGTGATATGCCCATATTTGTTTGTAATTTAAGCATCATCATGCCCATATATGGGCGCATTACACAAATTTGTCACCTAAAATTGGCAGTGTGGTCAGAGATTTATTTGTATATCTTCCTTTTTTTTCTTAAATTAAAAACAGGGTGCATCTTAAATCCACTTTTCACCAAAAGATCCTTCTGCTCTCCAATACATAAGGAAATTCAGCTCAGTTAATAGAACATAGCTTAGCAAAAAAACACATTGGTGTATTCTATAGATCTATTCTGAAAATTATGCATACATGAGCTAATAAGGTCTGCATGCATGGCTGGTGCTACACATGAGGCTGGTAGATAAGCCATTTGCATCCATGTGAGACTTGTAACTGAGCAGGATTTTTCTTGTGTCCTAATTAGTAGCTTAGTAAATTTAGTTTCTATAGTGGTATCAGAAAATTGTTAAAAAAAAAAAGCAGGAGTTTTCTTTGTGTCCAAATTTAGTAGCTATAGTAGATTTAGTATCTCTACCGTGATCGAAAAATGTTCCGAAAGAGCAGGATTTTTCTTGTGTCCTAATTTAGTAGCTTAGTAAAATGAGTGTTTACACCTGCAGTGGTATCGGAAGATGTTTATATTGAATTTCATATTTCATACACAACTAATAATAATTATCTTCCAATTGATTATTGTCTATATCACTACCTTTTTTATGTTTGTATTCCAGGCTGAAGAGGGTGGAGAGAAACCAGAGGAAGATGGTACCACCCCTGCTCCTGCTGCAGCGGGTGAGCAATCAAAGTTAACAAACCAGTTCAATTTTTCTGAAAGAGCATCTCAAACATATAATAATCCATACAGGGTAAGTAAAACAGAGAAGAAGACTTGAAGACTAGCTTGCATGCCCTTCCCCTTGCAAATTTATTTAGTGCTATTAAGTATTACTTTACTAGGGTAGCAAAAAACCTATTCTATCTATCCCATCCACAAATAGTAGGAAAGAGAAAAATATTGAATTATTTTTCATCTTTATTTAATTTACAGGAAAGGGGAACAGCAACAGAGCCCCCTCCCAGAGCTAATTTCTCAGCTACTGCCAACCAATGGGAGATATATGATGCCTACATGGAGGATCTAGAACGACAGGTCAGTCAGCATAACATTGAATGTTTAAGGACATTTAGTGATCAATGTTATACTTATAACCTTGAAATTATGAGTAGGTGAATAGTATGTATAATTGTGTAATTCATTAGGATTATGAAACAGTTATGATAATTGTGTGGCATAAAAAATAAAATGATAATGTTGATTTAAGATTTATCATATTTTAAGAGTTCCACACAGTACTTGCAGCAAATGTCAATGAGGGTAAATTGTAATTTATAAATAATATGTTCACGTAATTGTGAAATCAAGTAAGATTTTGAACCACAAACAGACACACATTTGGAATTATTACAGAAAGAAAACCAAGCAAACTCTACACCTAAACAGTAGTTGAGATCAGTGGTTATAATGTTGATCATGATGACGATGAAGCTGGTTATAATGATGGTGTGACAGTGATGGTGGTCAGCCAGTATGGTGAAAGTAATGATAGTGATGATGATGATGATAGTTTAAATACTTATGATGGTAATATTTATGATTATGAATATGATGTTGATGATGAATAAAATAGGTTGAACTAAACTAAGATACAAAAAGAAAAATCAGTATTTTTTCATTAAACCCATGCTTCCGTAATAAATAGGCCACAGTTATTTAGCTTATAATCTAAATATCATATTTTTTGTTTGTGTTGTTGTTTTTCTCTATCTTGGTGTTTCATGTTTTGCTAATGCTGGTGTGATGGACTTGGCAGGCGGAGGTACATTTTTTAATGATTTTGGTTTTTTTTTCAAGAAATACCATTTTGCAGTGCAAAATAATTTTAGTGGTTGTTTTTGCTTTGTTTATTTTTTGTACTTTTCATGTTTGTTCATTAAACTCTTACCAAAACTGTTCTTTGATTTTTTTTTTTCAACACTTCATCGTTTCCCATTTATAACTCAAACTTTTATTTTTCTTAATTTTTCATTCTATATTCAGTCCTGTTTCATTTATTCTTACCTGTGTTTCTTACTAATCAAATTTTAATATTACTTATAATAATACCATTTAAGTTTTCTGGCATTTGATTGGATCAAGTATTGGTCACATGATCATGATTCTTTAATCTCATTAATATGATTGGTTTAATTAAAGTCATTAACTATTATATCAAGTCAGTGTTATTGTCTTAATTTATCATGGTTCTCATTATGTAAAATCACAAGTTGCATATTTTCCACTTTCCTATCTTGTTTCCTTTTAAGTAATTTTAATGTTATTTTTATTATATTTTACTCACATTTGTTGCTGTAATTGACTTAATCATTGCAATGCACTAAAGCACTAAATATTCTAAGCTGCATGCTCACAAAATCATACTTTGTCGTGGTGGTTTTCTTTTTTTGTTTGTGAAAATAAAGATTTAAAAATGTTATTCACAAAAGAATATTTGAAATTTGTTGTTTTGCTTAGAATTTCACTTACGTTGTGTCATGAAAAAAGTTAATGCTTACCTCATTGTAAGAAATGTCAACAATTTACAGAAGATTGCAGAATATTATATTATGTAATTTTTGTCTCCATTAACTAAATGTTTAGTTGTTCAAATTATTGTATGTTTATTATTTATCTTGGTTTCTATTACTGTAATACTTTTACTTTGTTTCTGGTATGCAGTATTTGTACTCCTTTGTTAACTTGATTTAGGACTAACTTTACAATTTTTCCTGATGCATTTTCTATCATTTCAGTTATTATTTTGCTATTTTTTGTCCTCTAACTTGTCTATAAAATTGTAGTCAAATATGGCTACAGCACAGCTTTTTATATATCTCATTATTTTTATGTAATATTTCCAACCCATTCCAAAAGTTTAGAGCAAATGTGAATGTTATGTTTGATCTATCATTTACGATGAATGTAAAAGATTTGATTTTGATTACAGTCTTAAAAATTTTATTAAATATTTATCATAAAGCTATGTAAATGTTTGTATTTTATTTAAGAAAGTGGCAAATTTATCCTCAAAAAATGATTATTGATTCTGGAATTCTCTGATCCTATAGGAAAAAGCAAAAGAAAAGAAACAATCATCGTTAACAAAGAAAGATGATGATAAAAATAAGAAGAAGGTTACTGCACTGGAGACCCAATCAGACGACATTTCACGCATCGCCAAAGCGGCTCAGATTGTGGAAAGAATGGTCAACCAGAATACATACGATGATATTGCACAAGGTAAATCAAATCTTTATTTTAGAAAATATTATAAGTTAAATTATAGTTTATGCACAGCACAAAAATAGACTTTATGCCCATCTAGCATTAGAAGGGTTGGTAAGATAAGATTCTGAGCAATGAATGCAGTAACTGCACAGAGGTAGCAATAATAGTAATAATAATAGTAATTTCGTAAACTAGAATGTTCTTACAGGAGAATGACCCTACCCATAGAATTTGGAGGAATTATGCTAATTAGTAGGTATTTCTAGCCAATTAAACAGATGAAACAACGTGTTAGTGATTAAATTGTTAAAGTAAATTGAATGTCATTCTAATAGATGTTAAAGCAGTCAGCTAGGTTTCGTACTTTGGAAATTTGAAACCCACCAACCGTCTCCAACGCCATCCTTAATTACTAAACGAGCACCTAGCCAGATCTCTCCAATTCTGAATTGCGCAACAGAGCGAATAGTATCATATGGGTTGTGTATAAAATCTCATTTAATAATTGTATCCAAGGTTGAAGAATTGCATTATAGGTAAAATCTTAGCACTTTCAATACAAACTGCCTTCCAGAGACAAACATTTTTAATGGATAATTTCCTAAACACTAATAAGAATAGAATATGAATTTTATTATTCAGACTTAAGGGCCACTGTCTTCCTTATAGTTAAAAAAAAAATAACAATTTAGTTTATGGAATTATTTCTTTACTTCATGTTCAATGATCTACATTATATAATATGTTATTTTGAAGTTACAGTCTGATTGAGTAGGAAATGTTGGCTTGGCTCCTGGTGGCCTTGGCTGCTGTGGGAACAAAACTAGTGCATACCCGCTACCCATTTACCACCACAGTTTGATTTTAATCTATGCTGCTCTCTGTACTTGTCAAACTGATGCAATGCATCAGTTAGGATGATTTATCCAGAAGTTTGATTGGGTTATCTATCTCAAGCTGCCAAACAGTGCCATTTTAAATTAAACATCAAGATTTTAATTTCAGGCTCGATTGGTTTGCTGCGGTTATATATTATTGCAAATTTTTTTTAAATGGGGCCAACACTGGTAGCACTACAACTTTTATTAAAAGACTTTTCTACTGCACTTGGCACTAGCTTGTCAGTAACTAAACTAGGATTTATATATTGCAATAGATACCACTTAAATATGACACAACTTTGTTCACCCAATTTTGTAGGGACCCAATTTTGTGATCATGTGACGCAATGGTGTAACGCTGGGGCCGTTATCTTTTTGCCTCTGAGAAGGGAAGCCTCTAGGGTCTCGGTCACCAATTGCAATTTTAGATGCTCGTATTTTAATCATGTTTTTGTTATTGTATTCTAATTTAACGACAAACAATTATGACATCAGTGGTGGATCAAAGAATTTGAAATAGAAGGGGACAGGGAGATGCTTTCACAGATGAAAGGTCTATATCCACCTCAGTCCCACCATCTGGGGCTGAGGTAAGAAAATTTGTGATTATGGCACTTTAAAATGGCCGGAAATGGCACTCAAAGACTTAAATTTTTTATCCACTACTGGATATAATATGATGTACAGTATGTCCTACAGTTGATGGCAGGGATACATTATGCTGTACAGGATCAAGAAATTCAGCCCTTTTGGGTCAGGGTGCTAGATCGAGGACTGTATGGTTAGGGGGCCTGGGGCCCCTAAGGGTCAGGGGCCCTGCGTGCTGGCGCACAAGGGTGCATGGCATTACGCCATTGACTTGGCGAATATGACATAAGCTGCTGATGTGAAAGCTTATGCACCGTGGTCAAACATTATTCAAAATTTATTCTACTTTACTAAACATGACATTAAAATCATGGTTATTTATGATGAAAATTAATTACTTATCTATGCCATTAACTTTGTTTTTGTATAGATTTCAAGTATTGGGAGGATGTGTCCGATGAGTACCGAGACCAGGAAGGCACACTATTGCCACTGTGGAAGTTCTCATACGACAAAGCTAAGAGACTAGCAGTCACTTCCTTATGCTGGAACCCAAGGTATAAGGACTTATTTGCTGTAGGCCATGGGTCATGTAAGTAATAATAATAATAATAATGTTTGAGATTTAGATAGTGCCATTTACAGTGTCTGTAGACCATGTCTATTTCCTTCTACTCTATTTGCATCTGTGAGGTGGGGTTGGTACATTGAGCATCTCTATTGAAAAGCTGGTCAGTGGTCATTAAATCCATATTGGCAAACATCGGCATGCAGCCCCCTTCTACAACATATCAGAAGTGTATCCTTTATGTTGTGATTAATCACACATAATTTATTCTTTCTAGAAGTTACTGTACATAAACATTATATTAAAGATTCTATATATTTAGTAAAGAAAAAATTCCTACAAAATCAATTAACACATTAAAATTGCTGTATTTAAAGTATAGAATAAGTTATAAACTTCCAATAAGAACAAATGGGAACACAGATGTTTGTAGCGAAAGTTTAGTAATTTTTTTTTTTTCTATTATCATAATTGTACACTTGCATGTTTTCTTCTTTTTAAAAAATAATTTATGTAATATCATATTCAAAGGGCATATTCAATAAAATGTTTTCAAATCAAATTCATTTTATTGCAACCTGACAAGAAAAAATATCTTCACCAAATTGAAGCTTAACAGTAGTAAAAATCACCAAAACACATAAAAAATATAATTCATTAGACATATAAAATATAATTCATTAGACAAATACAATATAATTCAATAGAAGTTGTCACTGAGTGACACACCCGAAATTACCAGTGATTGAAATACCATGGTTAATAATAATTTTCTTGGATCTCTCTGTCTTGACTTTTGGGAGTGGAAGCTGTTTTCCTGAGATTATAATTGATAACACGTTCTGTTGGCAAAAGGTGGTGTAGCCTGTGTGAGGGACATTTGATTTTTCCAAAATATTGTTGGCATAATCAGGTGCGGCGTTTAGCGAGAACAGGGAGACCAGAGACTACAAGGGCCCGGTTATAACTAACCCAGGGGAGACAAATGCGAAGCGCTCTTTGTTGAATTTGTTCTAGGGCTTTGGACTGAGCACCAGGTATAAAAGTACCCCAAACAGGGACAGCATACTCCATGACAGGGCGAATAATACTAACGTAAAATTGGGAAAGTTCTCTTACCCCCAGCCCTGCTCTACGTAATTGTTTTAGAAAAAATAAACGGGTATTACATTTAGCCAGTAAGGCTTCAATATTCAAATTCCAAGGTAGATCGCAAGACAATGTAACACCAAGGAACCGTATGCGTCACACTGGATATTTCATTGCCGTTTAATATATATATCATTCATCCATTCTTTTCTGGTTTATTCATAAAACATTGACATAGCAGTATAAAGCCACTGAATTGCATCAATTTACAAAAACATAAAATGCCATAACACACTAATATAAATGGAAATACAAAACTCATGCAATGGACAATTTACAAGAAAAAGGGAACCAAATAACCGCACATAAAATGAATTACATAATTAACGTAAACATTTCTAGAGATTATTTATAATATAAAATACTTGTTTAATTTGATACAAAAGGAAATCACATAATATTTTGTAATAAAATTGATAAGCTAATTTATTATACATAGAAAATTGAATTGCAAACTTTCAGTAATTTAATTATATAAACAAATAATAATTGTCAGTATACAGAAATACTGTTCTACCTAAAAATACTTATTTAATTTAATACAAAAGGGAATCACATTTTTTCTTAATTAAATTGAGAATACTGTATTTTTATATGTCATTTTTATTGCTTAGATGATTTCATGAAGCAGTCAGCAGGCAAACTTCTCCTCTACACTCTCAAGAATCCGTCTTATCCAGATTGCATCTACGACACAGAGAGCGGGGTCATGTGCCTCGATATACATCCTGAGCACCCGTACCTTGTAGCCGTCGGCTTCTATGATGGGTCAGTGGCCGTGTTTAACCTCACCACTACCAGTAGCAAACCAATGTTTCAGAGTACGGCGAAATCAGGGAAGCATACCGATCCAGTGTGGCAGGTAGGATACCAGATCTTTTATATGTTAACACAGCAATGCCACATAAGCATTTTGAGGATTTACTATGAGCTAACATTATTGCTGCAATTCATTGATAGTTATGTTTGTTAAGTTCTTTTTTTGATGCCATTTTCAAAGTAAGGGTTACCAATGAAACAAGCTGAAAACAAAGAAGAGTAACTATTAATCAGGGGCAAAATGCCAGGATATATTTCCATAATTAAAGCTTAGCCCCACACTTTATGTTATGCTAATGTGTATTTATATAACACCTCTAATGTTGGTTGTGGATGGCTTATGTTGGTTCCCTCATGTCATCAAATATCAAGGGTTCCAATAACGATATGAAGAACAATCTGTATATTTTTTTTAATTTTCTTCATTTGTTTTGTGTTATATCAAGATTCCTACAAAATAGGTACAGGTATTCTAGTTAACAAAATCTATTTGAACTTAATATTGAATTGATTAATTAATGATCTTAGATCATGATGATTAATTTTAATCTTTTGTATTTATAGATTTGCTGGCAAAAGGATGATCTTGATAACAACCTCAACTTCTTTTCAATATCGTCTGACGGCAGAGTTGTGCAATGGACTCTAGTAAAGGTACCATACTTGTAAATGTTTTTATCAAATTTAATTTCTGCATCTTGGCACAGGGGACAAAGATTACTAAAAGGGAATTATCACAGGGGCTTAACAGAAATGGTGTGTGTGTTTCTAAATTATTAATTGTATATTTATGTACGTATCACAATTATATTTGCAGATTTAATAATAATTTAATAAGTATCAAATAAATACCAACTTCCAATAAGAAATAGACCAATAAATTGATTTTGTGACCAGGAAGCAGTTGTGATACGTGATGCATAGTGGGTATAACTTACGATGCAATCAGTGTGAAAGTATAGGAAAAGGTTACGGTTGTTTAAACAACCAGCCACTTACAACGTGAGAAATAAATGGCAAGGAAAGGCAATACGATTGCTCAAAATAGTGTTACTGGTCCAGTATCATTTGGAGTATTAGCAAACCATTATGGCAATATTTTAAAGTTCAATTTCCAATCAATTTGGTATATTTACTGGTGTTCCAACCAACATTGTTCAACATCAATTATGATGCCATAAAGAAGCCATACATTTTCCTATTACCAAGCATCGCTGCCTGTTTACAATTTATACCCAGTATGCAGTAGGTCATGTGACCAACCTAGCAGAATGTGTCTATTAGGATTTTACTGATTTATAGACTTCACCACAAAATTCTTTCAGTACCTCTATAGGGAAAAGCAAATCCACAATCATATTTTTATTGATTGCACCCTCTATTTTTCAGAATGAGTTAACATTCACTGATGTGATTGAGTTAAAGATGGAGGATGCCCCACAAGAAGGTCCAGAAGGGACACAAATAGCAACATTGAGTAAGTACAATTTCTTATATTATCTTCTATCTTATTACTTTTCTTGTTCTCTCTGTTTTTTGTTTTTTTTATTACTTATTCATTAAAATATAGGCTACCAGTATGGTGTATTGTATTCCGTATGTATTGTGTTCATGGTGAGTGCAATTATGCATATTTAGATATCTCAAACAAAAACCAATAAGAGAAAACTTGTTCTATTCTTTTTAAATTGGTGTTTATTACTACTCTGCTTATTTTAGTCATTTCAATTAACTCTTTTTTTTTTTAAATTAACTCTAATAAGATGTTAACCCCCACAGTTTTGAATTTTTTTTTTTGTGGGGGGAGGGGGAAGATGAGCTTCTTCTGTATATTAGAAGTAAATACTATTATGATTATAAGCCTAACAATTGTAAAATACAATTCTTTCAAAACTATAATTGAAGTAAAAATTTATTTTCATTTTAAGGCTGTGGTACCTGCTTTGATTTCCACAAAAAGACTGACTACCAGTTCCTTGTGGGTACAGAAGAAGGTAAGATCCATAAGTGTTCTAAAGCTTACTCAAGCCAGTTCTTGGACAGCTTTGATGCCCACCACATGGCAGTCTACAGGGTACAGTGGAACTACTTCCACCCAAATGTCTTCATATCATGCAGTGCTGACTGGAGTGTTAAGATCTGGGACCATACTTACCCAAAGTAAGTTACAAATAAATATTCTGTCGGCTTTAAGCTAAAAGATATTAAATAAAAGTAAATTCTTGTTTACATTCTATATTTGATATGTAAATCTTTAGCATTCAACTGACAATTAAAACAAAAAGTTAATTAGTATTACTTTCACTTTATTCGTGATAGGCTCTTCAATTTTCTGGTAGTCAATATAGATTTTTGTAGTAAAAAATCTGAAGATCATTAAATATTGAATTGTTTCACTCTGTGTCTTTATTGGAAGTGACTAAATTATTTTATCCTTGTGCAAAGAATAGTTCATTGTTTTACTTTATTTTCTGTGTAGTGTTTCCAAGATTTTACCAATCAAGAAAACACCTGTATAACTCCAATATATTTCCTTAACACTCTGACCGCCAGGGGTTTGAAAAAATAGTATCAGCCACCGCCAGACTTTTTAGCAAATTTTAACACTTTTCCGAAGCTCATTGAGAGTGTGTATGTGATCAGTTTGACATGTAGTAAATACTACAAGAACTACAAACATTTTAGCTTTACAATTGTATCTAATCACAATCTGTGATCCGTAACAGTAAAATGAAAATGACTGTCTTTTGGAGATTTACGTAGTTTCGCACAACGAAGCTGAGATAATCGCGATTTCGTGAATGTTAATCAATACCGCTCTACGCTAATGTGAACAAACAAATAGTGAAATACTTAAGGTCCAGACTGAATATAGTGTTCAAATTGTTAGTACATGTCGGTGATTAACCCCCATCTGTCGGATTCCATAAAAAAACCTCTGTGTTTGGTGGTCAAGCGTTGCATTAACAAACACGGAGATCTCTGTGTTTGGCGGGCAAAGTGTTAATACTGTATTAAATTTAAATTAAAAAAACTAATTGCTTACACTCAACTCACTCGACTTTTGTGGATAGTTCCACTACAATACTGGGTCCATCTCCTTTCACAAAATGTATTAGCGCACTTGGGAATTTTCTTTGACACCCATAAATAAATTTCTTTTAGGAAAGAGCCAATGTTCACCTTTGACCTCGGTAACTCGGTTGGTGATGTAGCCTGGGCACCTTACTCTTCAACAACATTTGCAGCTGTTACAGCAGATGGCAAGGTAGTTATAATCCATTATTACAATTATAGTATTATTGTTATTATTTTAAATGATATCATAAACTGGCATTTGACAGCTGTTAAGGGTGATGTAATGAAGCAAAAGCTGCTGGGAAAATATTTTCATCAACAATTTATTAACAGTATTTATTAAACATTGACAATTTCATAATTATTATTATCATCATTATTTATATTATTATTCTTATTATCATAATACTCTACTATCATTATTACCAGTGTTATAATTAATGTTATACTATTAGTATTATCAATATCATAATTATTTATATTATTTTAGTATAATTATAATCATTTTATTATTGCTATTATTATTCCTTCAACCAAATCATCACTTCAGGTACATGTGTTTGATCTGAGTTTGAACAAATACGAGCCAATCTGTGAGCAAGCTGTTGTACAAAAGAAGAAAACAAAGTTGACACACATAGTCTTCAATCCAGACCATCCAATTATCTTGGTTGGAGATGATAGGTGAGAATAGCACTACTATAGATTATTTTCACGAAATTTGAAAGGAAAATTTCCGATAACCTGGCAACTACCACTGGGGGACTTTCAGAGGCCTATCATTCCGCTTATATGTAGTTCCCATCATAGATTAAATCAAGGATAAAACTTATTTACTAACGAGCACAAGTATTTTTAAACGGAAATAACACGAAATGTTTATATTAAAAACAATTCGCAGTCTTAAAAACCTATTTCAATGTTTAGATATACAGTAATTACAGTAATTAGCAAGATTGTATCTGTTGTCTACTGCTGCTGTAGTACAGGTCTAGCGGCTATCCGCTGCGCCAGGATCCACTTATAACTAGCCAGCTGATCAGACTAGGCTGCTGGAAGTCCCCCAGTGAGTTGCGAGACATTGGTGGCGCTGTTTCAAAATAAATCCGATAAAATAGTCTGTATCTTTACCATCGTCATCATTATTATCGTCATCGTTATAAAGTTTATACAAACATAAACATAAATAGCAATTATTGATATAGTTGTTTCTTGTTGGTTTACAATCATCCTTATACTTAATGTTGGTTTTTTTTTTTTTAACTATAAATTTTGTTATCACTGTTATATTATGATTAATTATACAAGTAAACTAGTGGCGAATTCAAATTTAAGCCTGAGAGTGCCAATTCCAGCCATCTACAGGTGCCATAATCATGGTGGGGGCTGAAGTGGTCTAGACTCTTCATCTGTGAGAGTCCCTCACTGGCCCTCACCCCCTCTATTTTGAATTCCTGGATCCACCCCCATTAACTATTTATATTGTTGTTAATATTCTTATTGTGTTACAAGTATTCTATCATCCTTATATACCTTATATTTCATGCTTATACATCTGATTTAAATTTGTGTTTCCAGGGGATATGTTACAAGTATGAAATTGTCTCCAAATCTGAGAAAGAAAAATCCAAAAGTAAGAAATATTGAGCTTCTTCAATACAATGTGTCATCATGGTTTATTTTATCAAATGATTGTGGGTAATTATGTGATGTTTGTAGTAGCCTACGCATGATGTATAGAACTGACAGTATCATTATTTTTGTAGCTGCTACTGATAATAATAATAATAATAATAATAGTGTAGTTTTATATAGCGCACAAATCCATCTAATGTAAGATGCTCAGGGCGCTTGAAATGTGGACTAGTGACTCGATCAATGACTTTCTTCGCCCCTAAGGGTCCCTTCGTGTCTGTGCTACCCGGTAACCCGGTACCAGCAACTCTCTCAGGGGCTGTCTGTTCCAGTACACCGGGGTATCCCCCTACTCGTCTCGAAGGATGTACAGGGTTCTTTATAGTGCACACGAGCCATTGTATACACTGGGCCTACGGTTTATAGTCCTTATCCGAGAAGACTTGTTCTACCACCAGAACCATAGGCGAGCGTGCCGTTCGAACCAGCGCCGATATTATGGCTATAGCTTGCGGCGCCCCTGCTTACCGCTCGGCCATTCGACTCACCATTGTCACTCATTATTGTTACATAGAGGTACCCCTTCTAATCCCTAAGGCCCTGGTACAAATTACCAGCATTTCCACTTACGCCTAACAACGTCTTTCCTTAACATTCATATAATTTTATACAGAACATAGTTCCATGCTGTAAGTTGCAAGTCACACCGTGTTTAATTATGACATTTTCTTATTGATAGAAAATTAAAATTCTCATTCTTTTTTCTTAAAATTAGACTGAAATATTTATAATTTATAATATCTTTATGTATCATCTTTTCTTTGTCTAGAAAAAGGAAGGCATTGAAGAACAGATCGCCAAGATGAATAAACTCCTTGACCTGGTCAGAGAGCCAATTGATAACAACAAGAAATGAGATGACAAACTAATTGCGAGTTGATTTCTATGATCAAGTGTTTCAGTGACTATCCATGCTTATCGGCCACCAGATAGAACTTCCGTCCAATCAAACACCTTGAAATAAAGTAGCCATGACTTTAATTACCAATTACTTGACATTTTCACTACTTGGCATTTTCACTTTCTGTTTGATGTATTTTTATTTTCAAATATAAAATTATAATCTTTATGTCTCATGATAAATGGTGCATATTGCTTGTGACTCAATTGTATGTGTAGAGAATATTATAATGAGTCTTAGGTACAGCATTGTATCTTCTTGTTAACATACTATACATCAAATGAATTATATGATACAGTAAGTATAATAATTTAATATATCAGTTAGGCCAAAAAAAATAAATTTTTGTGTTGGCCACGTTTTGGGAAAATCCTAAAAATTAGTAGGTCGGTAGGAAATTTTTTTTTTTTAAGCCAAAAATGTATTTACTTTTAAAAGGTATAAAATAGCCTACTCCAAGGTTATTTCAGCCTTATTAGCTCATGGAAAAGAAATATTTTTCCTTGTAGTAAAAAAAAAACAAAAAACTGAAATGCTGACCCTGAATTTAGTAAAATTTTGGTCGGTCGGGCACGTCCAACACAATTTTTTTTTTATTTGGCCTTACATGTTAAATTTATAAATGAGCACATATTTATTTAAGCAATATTCCATGTTTTAGATAATGTCAAAATATTACTTTTGCTTGTTATTTTTATTGTTTGTAAATAATAGCTTATAGAAAAAAATCCATATCTTTTCAAGATTGAGTGTTTGGTATGGAACTGTCAATGTTTACCAAGATATGAAATTATTAATAAAAGTTAACAAATGTTAAAATTAATTTGCTATCTTTGATATATCTTTATCTTGGTCACCACAAGTAATAATACATTTTATTGAAGATAGAAAAATATTCCGCCTGTATTTTGCATCGATGATGCTTAACTTAATATATTTCACAAAAGCGACCTGCAGTCTTTCATGTAAATATTACATATGTAGTTCCCCTTGATAATAGAAAAATATTTTGTATAGGCCTATAACACAAAAACTGACAATCAGAGTACAGTATGAGATGTAACAGGTGTAAACAAACTCTGACTAATAAGCCAGTAGGCCTTGCTCCATTATCTATTTTATTTTGACTTCCTAGAATGCCACTCTATATATTTCTAAGAATATGACAAAAATTAAAGGAATATATAGTTCCGAGTAATTATTCCTATATTATCCTTGTTAGAAAACTGGTTTACATTTCTTGTTGGAAAGAGAAATGAAAATTATCAAAAAGGAGATCTGTTTCCTAAAGATGAAGATAGATTTGCAAATAGCAAAGGATTGAATGGGAATGAAGCATTTTCAAATATGGTCTATTGGGCTCATTTGATTTGAGTGTAGGGTTGTCCTACAGTGAAAAATAATTCAAAGTATACATTGTTTTTTAGGAGATTTTATGAATATTCATAGGCATAATATTGGAACAGATTTTATGAATATTCATAAAGATATCTCATAGACATTTTTAGGAATAATGTAGTGCCATTTGAGAAAAAATATGAATCATCAATATGCACAAGCTTTCTCCAACTCTCTATAGGGTGTCTTTGCACTAATATACTTCATACTTCATTAATAACATGTTGCAGTCCAGCTGACTATTTCTGACTCGTCTCACTGATATCCTTTAAGAACCTTGTCCTAGTGACTAAAACCAAGGGGTACCGCTTGGTAATAATGAAATCAAGTTGAAACTGTGTGGGCCTACATGCACATTTACATGCCTTTGAGCTAATGCATCAAGGAAAGGAAGTGATCAGCTTAACTTGATGAAATTAAATAATGAAAACATAAGCTGACCTAGATACCCTATGAAGGTCATTGGATGAATTGCGGACAAAATATCAGTAACCAACCTCACTTGGCTGTCAACCAGGAAGTGCTGGCCTGTAATTGGTTGATTCATGAATTAATATTCATTACTTCATGGTTAAGAAGAAAAATTCATGTTAAATACTTGATTATTGGGAATCATAGTTAAGTTTAAAAAAAAAAAAACCATAGTTAAGAAGAAAAATTCATGTTAAATACTTGATTATTGGGAATCATAGTTAAGTTTTTAAAAAAAAACCACTGAAAGTCTACATGTTTCTTATTAGTCCAGGTTTGTTTATTATTCGCCAAACAGAAGCACAGCTTCTATCATTTATTTCATAGTCCAGTCTCAATACAATTAGTGGCAACTTAAGTGTAAAATGTCAAACCAGCTGACATACATTTTAGAATTTTAAGAAATCTTTTATTTTATACATTTTAAATATATATAATTGACCATAAAAAACTAGCATTAAAAACAAAATCTACTCTTTTTTTATTATAAATACACCATGGGTACTAAAATAAAAACATAGTATAAATCACAGGTGAGCAAAATGCGGCCCAATGACAAAATTTTGCGGCCTGCAACAACCAAATAATGTGCAGCCCACTTTTTACAGCCTAACACTGATTGTCTATAGAAATTAATATCAAAACTGAGCATAAAGTGGTATAATAGCAGTGCATTAAGGTTTAGCCCTTGGTTTAAATTTTTAAAAATCACTATGGCCTTAAGATATATATATATATAAAAAACTCACAAACTATTTTTTACTGAGCCATGTAAAGACTGGCCAACTGCAGAAATTTTAAGAAGTTATACAATTAATAATATAAAAATATGTCATTGAGGTTTGCATGGCAAATATCAATAACTAAATCATAAAATTTTTAGTACAACATGTGTAAAATATATGGTTTTTGAGGTAAAACGTCATTCTCCTGATGACAGACAAAGCAATCTAACCGAAGCGTCAAGACAGCCAACTAATTGTTTTTCCACAAAAAAAACATTTTATACTTGGTGTACTGATTGAAAGTTGTATGATTTTGTTATAATAATGTTATTAACTATATATAAATTATAACATGATAATGAGAGACTTGATTAGAATTGAATAACAACTAAAAAACAAATTATTGTTTTCACGTTCCTATCTTCATCTTTAACCTATCTGGCTGTGGGTATTGTGGATTTTCAATGACTCCTTTGCCAAACTTGAATTCTAAAAACTCTTTATGATTATTTGGTGCTTTTGCTAGTATACCCTCAAACTCAATCCTTACAAGTGGTTTAAGAAACTGTTCAGGAAATTCACAGTCTTGTTTATGGCCCTCCATCCAAAAATCTTTGGTCATAACTCCATCTCTAGAATAAAATGGCCACAAATCAACATGAAGATGATTTGTGGAGCTATACTGAACACGGTAGAAGTCCCCTTCATGGGGCCATGCTTTCTCCCAGACAAAGTCTTGGTCGTCTGTTACAGCGCCACCCTGTTTAACAGCTTGAAGATATGAAATTTTGTCCAAGTCTTCACGATATATTCCAATATCAATATCATAATCCCATGGGATTATCCCTTTGTGCCGTGCAGCGCCAAGAAGAGTTCCGCCTTCTAGCCAATATCTAACATCCAAGTCATCGAGAATTTGAAAGACGTGTTTTGCAGTTTCCCTCAGAGCCATCATACAACAAGGAGGCGTCCAATGATCCTCGTAGAGGTATTCAGGCATGTCGTTGTAGACAGTATCAAAACAACGATCGCTAGTTTTACTGCATCCAAACCAACTTTGTTTGCCGTCACTATGAACCACAAGCTTAACACCAAATTGTTTGTAAGTATTGCGTAATCGTGTCATTTTATTCTGCTGCTGTCTGTATATTACCTGATCGTTGTGACTATGACAATCATCAACGTAAAATTTAACATCCTTAAAGAAGTGTACCTTCCACTTATGAAGATTAGCTTGAAGGTACAAACTTTCTAAGACTGGCCGTGCATAAGGGTCACTTAGCGTGAGGAAGTCATTGGTCTTCATTACAACAACGTGGTTACCACGAATACTATCGCAAGCCTCTTTGTAAGAGTAACTGTAATAAAGCGTCCAGTTTTGGTAATCAAATCGAAGGTCCTCGCATGATGCATCCTTCTCATTGTCTGAAGAAAGGTACAGAAGTCCGGCAGCTCCAATCTTAACATCATCTCCTTGTTGCTCTGACTGCTTGAATGACTGTACAAATTTTTTTATTCTGGAATCAGAAACAAACTTGATGCCATCTGGTAAAATAACTATATATTTTGTTGATATATAATTTTCAGGTCTAGATTCTGCAACTTTTTGATGAGGTCCGTTAAACAGAGAAACGATTTTTGTTCGTTTACTTAGGTTAAATATCGGTGGGTACGGTATCCTCTCTGTTACAATCAAAATGTTCGACTCCGGGAAATACTTAGCAACATTCCTATCACACTGACTGATACAATTGTCTTCAAACTCAAATTCTCTGAATATGAAAGTTATATCATCGGATATATCATTATGATCTCCATTAAAATCCCTAGGCCTAGCCTCCTGTTGCATGAACTGAAAGTGATTGTTTCGTCCAGGGGACAAACGCCGTCCAACGGGGTCAGCTACCTCTGATGCAGGCTCCATTAGTTTTCTTGATAAAAGATAGATCATAAACAGAAAATTTACGATTGTAAAAACCACAAGTACCTTCTGACACCTTACAGACAAACGCATACTTCTGTGATTGCAGTGAATGCTTCTTTATACGTTCTCAAAAGTGTACAAAACTTCTTAACTGAGTGGAATGGAAATAATGAAAATCTTCGCGCACACAACATAACACCAAGGGGGAATCCCTTTTTAAAAGTATACGGAGAGGGCGCTTGTTGATTTCCAATCAGCAAAAATGGCTGCGAGCATGTGCAAGATTCATCGTCAGGTACTCTACCTTTGTTTTGTTTTTTTTGCACAATAATACTGTTTTGTATCTGCGATTTAGCAAATGAGTATATTCAGAATTATAGACTTCAGTTTTGTGGAGTTACAGTATTGTAAACTATAGTAATTTTAGCTAGGCCCTCTTTCCTTCTGAATCCTACCGCCGGGCTGTCGGATTATCATGTGGGTTGGTGAGAAGTGATGATCTGTCCGTGTAACTACATTCCAATCTTGCATCATGTTATTGTTATTCTAGGCCTATACTACCAGTATAAAAACAACGCCCGACTGCACCCGGTTTCTTTTGTGTTACTACTACGTTACAGACCTCATCAGCAGGCTCCTCAGATTGAACCTGGCACTGTATTTTTTGAACACATGTTTTATTTTAATTAGGCCTACTAAAATTAGGCACCAAACAATAATATATTTTATTTACTATCGAAATTTACTAATTATTAGTATTAATATAGTAGGCCTAGCCTATATAGTAATAAAATTAAAAACATAGGCCTAAGAATAACTTAACACTTACTGTACATATTATTTTATAATTTATATAGCGCTCAGTACTACTACTACTAGTTTTTTGTGTTCCTTGTATTATTTTTGTTTATTAAATTGAGTGATTTTTCAGTTGAAGTTTTTCAATTACAGATCAAGATCCAGATAGACCTACAATCTCATTATTCACATTATGTCATTATGATGTTGTTATTGTATTGACTTTTTTCCTCTTCAATGTTTTTCAATTTTTTTGTACATTTTCCTTTTGCTCCCTTTCCTTTTCCTGCTTTCTTATTTTGATTGAACTGGTGTATTTTAATTATTTTAAACATTCTTAATATTATTACTTTAAATTATATTCTGTAAATTTCAAATTTTCCTTAAATTTGCAATAAAGTTATTTTGTATCTTGTATATCTATGAACATTAAAAGCAAAATTGGTTACCTACTGTGTACTGTAAAGCTGCTGAAATTATTAACTTGTCTTTTAATACATTCAGATCTTTAGGCAGCTAACTCATATACAAACATATAATGTTGCCTCAGCTGCAAGTGGTGGTAAAGTTTGGCTACCACATTCACAACATGGCAACCCTATACTGGATAGACATCCGCATCAGGTAAGTGAATTGAGTTGATGATGTTGACAACAATGGTGGTGATGATGATGATGGTAGTGGTGATGATATACTGTTTTATGAGACTTATAATTCCATCTTGCAATTGGCATGTGTACTTAAAGGTAAAGGTAGAAGAATAACCCATAATTCGCAGCATCATTGTGCTGGCTGTGGTCCGCGACTACTTAGCCACCATAAAGAGGCGCTTAGAGTAGCTACATGTTCATATCATTCCAAAACGACGGGCTGAAATGAACCATAACATCAGGGTAACCCCCTACTCTTCCGAAAGATACAGTGGGTTCTTTAAAGTGCACACAAGCCAGATGTGTACACAGAACCTCCATTTTAAGTCGTTATCTGAGAAGACTTGGTTCTACCAACCGAAACCCTGGGTGAGAAGTGAACCAGCACTAATGCTAATTCTGTAGTTAGCAGTGCTTCAGCCTTACCGCTCGGCCAGTTGTATAGTAGGCTACTGTAATGGAAAATGTTATTTAACATTTTATAGGTATCTTGAAGTATGGATGGTTTTATTGTCAATATACTATTTTATTGTTTTTTATATTAAATTTGTTATTAGAAGACTTAAATTGTTCATATTTTTCACATACATATTTAAATTGAATTATCAAATGAAAAATTTTAGTTCAATTATTAACATTATTTTCGTTCCAAAATACCGGGTTTTATGTTAGTTGGGGCACTTAAAATTTAATTCTCAGTATAATTTTGTTTTTTATTTTTTTTATTTTCAGATAAGAACATATTCAAATGAGTCTGGAAAGAGGAGTTTTATAGGACAGTTTATTGACAATCTTAAGTCAGAAATGAGCAAAAATAAGGAAATGAAGGTAAGTACTATTTAAATTTAGTTTAAGAATATCAAATTATAAAAATTAATTCATTTCTACATCACTGTACTAGTTTCTGACAAGAAAAGGGGGGCAAAACCGAACAGAACCTAACTGTACACCTAAAATCGTAGGATTTTATATCAGTAAATAATGTTACTATTTTTTAGTTTTCAATTACTGTTGTATACACTTTTCTTGAGTTTTGCACTTGTTACAAGTTGGTTCTTATTATTATTTGTTTGATTGATTGGTTGTTGATATTGTTCTTAATCTTGTCAGGAAAACATCAAGAAATTTAGAGAAGAGGCGGAAAAACTAGAACAGTCGGATGCTTTAAAAGCAGCTAGAGAAAAATATGTAAGTTAGCAATGTTATTTACGTTAATTGTAATATTGTATCAGATAGTGATTTAGCTTCATTTCTTACATGCAGTATATTTATATGCAAAATCTGATCAGATTTTTAAAAGAAGATCATATGGCTACCAGTCTTTTTGCTGCACACATGAAAACATCTTTCTGTGTATAAAATATGTAGTGTTTCTGATATTGCCTTTTGTACAGACGTACAAAGGAGGTGGCTGGTGTCTGTGACATGAATCAAAAATGTCTTTAATAGACTTGAATCTAGTTATTTTTTTTTTTTTTTTAATTTATTCTATGCCAACATTATGTATTTATATGTTTTCTAACCACTGTTTTTCAGTTGTCTGAGAGTGCTAGAAAACAATGCATTGGCATTGTAATCTCTTAGTTTTTTCTTCTGGTTTTGTTTTTCAGGATGAACTAGAAACAGAAACAAGTAAAAGCGGTGAAATGCTACGAAAAACTTATTCTGAAATTAAAGATAAAGTAGGACAGGTAAGATTATAATGTGTCATTAAACACCACTTATTTGGTCCTTCATTTACTTAACATTCCTATACTATTAGCTGCAACAACTCGCCCTTTACTCAAACAATTTGGCTTCAGGTTGTTCAAGTATTCTGCTTCAGATCTCTGAAATAACCTTCCCCTGGATGTTCGAACTACTCCTTCGGTCAGTTCCTTCACAAGTCCCATCTCAAGACATTCCTCTTTCACTAATATTTTAATTAGTTTTCTTCTTTTTCCATCTTTTTCTTTTTTTCATTGCATTGCCTTTTTATTGTTCTGCTTTTCATTTTTCTCTAATTTTCTGGAAAGCGCATAGAGGCTCTAGCAGTATGCGCTGTACAAGCACAATTAATAATAATAATAATCCTAATAATTGGCAGGGCCTATGCCCTAGCCTAACCAAGTAGTAGTAGAGTAGGTAGCTAGGCCCCTAGCATAGGGCTAGGCCCTATTTGTACGAAAAACTAGGTACTACTAGGCAAGGCCTGCCTAGGCCTAGAGGCTAACTACAGTACAGACAGACAATAGGTTCCCTATGCTCCTTGTTTATTCTTGTACATTTGATGTTGTTGATTTTGTTATTTATACTTCTAGCATAACTGATTTCTTTTTCTTTCCTGTTTGAATCCCTTCATTCTGTACACATTTCCAATGAATTTGTAACCAAATTTTATAGCTCATGCTGGCTTCTTTAGCAAATATGAATGCTTCTGATAACAGTATGTCTGACTGTTTATTGATAGAGCGTTGAGGAAATGCAGAAACAAGAATGGGTCAAGAAGGGAATTGATACAGCTGATGGTATCTCAAAGACAGCTAAAGGAGCAGCCCAAAGGGTAACCAAATCAGGTGAAGATTTAGTCAAGTCAAAAACTTTCCAGTCAATATCAGAGGTAATTAGGTGGTCTTATATTTGCCATTCTTCCACACAAAAAGTTGAAGTAAATCAAAATATTCCTTTTTAATTTATTACTTTATAAGTATTCCACAAAAAAAGCTTGACCCCCCCACTTCATAATATTTGAAGCAAAAAAATAAGTACAGTTAAACTTGCTTAAGTCGACTTCGCCTAAGTCAAATAATTTTTAAGTCAATCTTGTTTTACATGCCAAATTGTTGTGTTTTCTATTATTTAACAATCTGTAGGTCAAATTTTATCTAACTTATTAAGTCGAACAATTTTACAGTGACATTTTGGATTTGACTTCGGCAAGTTCAACAGTAGTTAATTTCACCATCGAGCACCCCACTTCACCTTCGCTCGCCATCAGTTTCCCACCCCCTCCCCCCAAAACTCACACCCCCTCCCNNNNTCCCAAGACTCATTATGCCATTGCTTTTAATATATGAGTGTAAGTTATAATTAATATTAATGTATTAGTTAACTTGTTTCTTCTATTTCAGGGTGTTAAAGCAGTGAAGCATGAACTTGATGAGAGCACTACAGCAAAGGCTCGAGCATACAAAGCACCAGGTAGAACAACCGAACATTTAGATCCATGCCATTACTCTGCTTATCCGACCTTTGCATTATTTCAGTCTTTTTGTTGTTTTATTTTTTTCAGTAAAACTTAGGAAGAGAACAGAACATATGGTTAATAAATCACAAAGTGATAAGCAGATAGAAATTAACGAGTAAGTATTGTTATTGCATTTGCCTTTGTATTTTTGTTGTCATGGCGGCACTATCTTAATTGTTACCACAACAACTGGAGTTCAGATTAGGGTTATGTTGATTTGTGTCTGTTTATTATACTGCAAAATGACAAAAATATGGCTAAAAAACTTAATGTTGGTACCTCTGTGGATATGCTAATTATTGATTATATACAGTACTTAATACTAAATCACCAAATCATCCATTATAATCTTGTATTTATTTTATTTGTATGTTTTTCAAAAGTTATGTTCCTATACTTTTGTACCTTTCATTTTTGTATTCCGAATCTTTAATGGTTTACATTTCAGGAAATCATCAACTGATTAATTGACAGCACTGTATATTGATAATTTAAAACATTTTTGTGAAAGATAAACCAACCCCAAACCCAGGGGTCCCAAGTTGGAAGAAGTCATTTCTGGGAAACCTACAGTGGCAGACCCAGGAATTCAAAATAGAAGGGTTTGGGGGTGGGGTGGAACAGGGAGAGACTTTCACAAATGCAGGGTAGGCCTACCACCTCAGCCTCACCATAGTTGTGGCTGTGCTAAGAACATTTATGATTATAGCACCTCCCTCTAGATGGCTGGAAATGACACTCTCCGACATAAATTTTAGGATATAAGTTTCTTTTTTCCCCATTATTTTTTTTATAATTTGGAAAAATTTAGGGGCCCTGGCCAGCTATCCCCTCTCCCTTTGAATCCTCCACTGATCTGCAGTCGGGATAATAACTTTCGTTAACACGCGTAACTTATTACTGCACATAGTGATACCCATCGGCTCTAACTTTCATGAGACAATTGAAATATTGAAAACATGCAAATACTATGAATTAGCGGGGGATGGGTTATATCCGGGAGATTCTTGTTTGCTTGCAGGAGTGCGGAAGGTCCTCTCGATTTCAAGTCCCGGGATACTTCGGGACCCCTGCCCAAACCATTAGAGCTTTTCAGCATATTAGTGGTCTACACTTTACTGCATTTTAAACTTAAATGTATGGCAGTGAAGTACTATCATGAAAACATTTAGAAATGCAGTTGATAATTAAAATGTTGTTTAACTTCATAGGGATGACACAGGCATGGTATTACACAAAGACTCAAAGTTTTATGAACAATGGAAGAATTTTACTGAAAACAATCAAGTGTTCACCAGTAAGTAGTTTTACAATGTCTATATATTCCTATGTTATACTTGAAAAGAAAATCTTTTTGTTTGCTATACCATATATATATATATTTTTTTTTTAACAGAAATTCTTGATTGGAAAGTTAAGTATGATGAGAGTGAAAATATGATGGTGAGAGCTACAAGATCAGTTACAGACAGAGTTAGTAATTTACTAGGTAAGTACAGTATAGATGTACCAATATTTATACTTATAATAATAATAATAATAATAATAATAATAATAATAATAATAATAATAATAATTATGGCTACCTGAATTAAGTCTGAAAAAAATGTTGCTATCATTATTATCCTCTTAATAATACTCAATATCATCTTCATCATCTATTATTATTATTATTATTATTATTATTATTATCATTATTATTATCTTTACAAAACTATCTTATACAATGATGATGTCATTATGACCACAATTATTCCTGTCTCTTATACACATCTAGATGTGTATAAGAGACAGGTTCACTCCAACTGAAACTTCAGAAGTATTAACAGAAATTATCAAAATTGATCCGTCATTCAGCAAGGAAAAGTTTTTAAATATGTGTGAAGAAGAAATTATTCCAAATGTTTTAGAGGTAGAGGAAACTTCTGTCAAAAATATCTGATAATACATCTTGTGTCATGCATCGATTGTAATAAATTAAAAAATGAGCCATTGTATATTAGTGTTATTATAGCACTACTATTAATAATAGAATAATTTGATTTTATTTGTTTTATTCAACATCATAATAGCCTTTATAGCCTTTATAAAGGTAAAGAATGACAAACATGAGGCCATAATGAATTCTATGTTTTGTTCTTTATTAGAACATTGTCAAGAACATTAGGAACAGTCTTTTTATGATAATGATAATAATAATAAATATGATAATAATAATAATTATTGTTTCTATTTGTAGGCAATGATACGAGGTGATCTAGAAATTCTTAAGGATTGGTGCTATGAAGCTGTAAGTAGCATGATCGTTATCAAATGGGTATAATAATGGAGGAGGAGTAAATTAATATTAACAATGGAGAGAGCCAAATGGAGAGAGATAACAGTGGTGATGAATTAGTTATTTATAATGAAGATGGTGATGAAGCAGTGATAACATTGTTGATGGTGACAGTGGTAATGAATTGGATATATTCTTGTTACTCATGATGTAGATGGTAATGAAGCACTAATAATGATGTTGATGAAGTAGTGATAAACAGTTGATGGTGAAATAATGATGTTGATGGTGACAGTGGTGATAAATAAGTGTTATTAAGATCCTGGTACTGATTATAATGAGGATAATTAATATTACTAACAATGATAAGATATTTTTAATTTTTTTGTTAAATGTTCTTTATATCTTGGTAGCCTTACAGCCAGTTAGCAACACCCATCCAGCAGGCAAAGGCAATGGGGTATAAATTTGACTCAAGAATACTTGATGTTGACAGTCTAGATGTAAGTTACTACAATTGGGTTTTTAAAAAATATTGTATATACATAAAGACTAGTAGAATATAGGTACATTTTTATACATTGTATTGGCAAGGAAACTATGTTCAGTTGGTTGCAGTTTGAAGTTGAAGCTTTTTTACTAAAATCAAAACATATCTTTAAGAAGTCATTAAAGATGCAGCAATTGCTCTTTCAATATTTCATATTTATTTTCATATATATTTATATTTTATTCACAACTCAATGCTAATTTCAGTTGTAATAATTTGTTTTTCAGTATATTTCATTTTATTTTCATACTTATATCATTCACAACTTAAATGATATTTTTTAAATTCATTTCATATGGCTTGTTTTAAGACATTATATATGAATCATTAATTTATGAATAGCATTTTTGCATTCAACAGTTGTTTTATAACAATATATTGTATTTGAATCATTATTTTATGAATAGAATTTTTGCATTAATCAATAATGAGTGTTCTCTTGTGTTTTTTAATTGATCGTATTTATTGCATTAGTGGAATCAGTATGATCAATGATCATTGTTCCCATTTTGATTTAGATCGCAATGGGCAAGATGATGGAGCAGGGACCAGTCCTTGTGATCACATTCCAGGCTCAGCAGATTATGGTGGTAAAGAACATGAAGGATGAAATCATCGAAGGAGACCCTGTAAGTTAAAGAGTCTCGGACACCCCTCTCCCTTATTTATCCTCCTGTTATTAGTATCATGCCTAGTCAATTTAATTTTTCTTTTTTAAAGTAACAGAAATATGGAGTCAAATAAGCCAAAGTTTTCTCTAAAACTTTTAGATGTATTATAGTTCATGTGTATGGCTACCTGAATTAAGTCTGAAAAAAATGTTGCTATCATTATTATCCTCTTAATAATACTCAATATCATCTTCATCATCTATTATTATTATTATTATTATTATTATTATTATCATTATTATTATCTTTACAAAACTATCTTATACAATGATGATGTCATTATGACCACAATTATTCTTCTTTCATTGCCGCCTTCACTTAATTATAAGGTCGTGTTGGGGTCTATGTTGACTCGCAAGAGAGGATAGAACTCAAATTATATTTAGTAGACATTATACAGTTTCTTATTATCCTTTATTGTACATCACCATCAATCGAATATACAAATATACAAAGTGTGTTAACTCTAAGAAGTCTTGCTTGTTCTAAGTCTTTTCTATAAAATTCTTTTCTGATTCCAAGTATTCTTCTGATTTCCTTCTAATCACTGTATTAAGAACCCTTGTAATCATTTGTAATCTCTCCTCTATCTAGCAATTTCATTCTCTATATATGTGGGACCAAATGGGAGGAGCTATATAAATTCCAAGATGATGGTCAATGAAACATTATTCATAAGGTGGGGCTGGAATGTACCTATTGGTACCAGCGTGGGTTTCCTTGGAATTTATACTGTGTTATGGGTTCAATTTCCACCTGAATCACTTGCAAATTTTTTTCGCTAGTATTTTGGGACGTACTGAGTATTCGATATGATAACACGTCAGGTAGGGCAAAACATCACTCTGATCACATTGTCATCATTTATAAGAAATTACTCCAATTCAATTTCAATTGTTATTTCAGGAGAAAGTGATGCGAGTAACTTATGTGTGGGTATTATGTCGAGATCAGGAGGTGCTTGATCCAAGTGCGGCATGGAAGGTCCTTGACTTGTCAGCAAACTCTGCCCAACAGTGGGTTTAATGTTACCATTTCCCACACTTGCACTCAAAGAGTGCAAACTATCTATCCACACCTAAGTATATCTTTATGATAAATCAACTGATGTCATCAGCGTAAAATTTTACCTACACCATCCTCTGGGTGACTAAAATGAAGAGCAGTCATCAGCCAGGAAATGGGATTGGATGGCAATGCCTGGATCTCCTGTCATGCCAGTTCGAGTGGATACATTAGAGTGAACTGTAACAAATGCAAATTTATCCAAAAGGAACAATTAGATCATTATTTGTCGCACTCATGCTTGTATTTTTAGAGTGAAACTGTACTTTGTGAGACTTTTGTTTGTTTTAAATGCAAAAATGCTCTGTGCACAAAAGTTCTGGAATGTTTTTCGTACTTTTGATAATTATTCCATATTTAAATTACAGTCTTGGCAAATCAATTTGTGTTGAACCTAACTGGCGGCAATTTGTGTTAATATAGAGTTATGATAATTGTTTAGTTACTGTACCAGTTGGTTTAATTAAATACAAAACATTACTGTACATCAAATATGTGAATGGCTAAGATGGGCGTGGATCGACGGGGGATGGTTTATAGGAGGGACATCATATCAATTTTCCCCTACTATTCACCATTTGTCTGTAGTAAAAAATCCACTTAAAGCAAGTAGAAAGAACAACAATTACGAATGACTAATATAAGATAAATATTATTTTTATGAACGTTAGTTATAATTAATTGTAAATTGTTAACTTTAAAATCAATTAAATACGACTAAAAAAGGCATAGGCTTTTCCCCCGGAACCCACTGGGGCTTTCCCCTGGCTCCCATTTACCAATTTTCCTCACCCCACTTTCAAGCACGGAAAAAAGGCTAGCACCCTGAGTAATTCGTACATAACTCCCACAAGCTGTAGTTCACAAAAGTTCACAAAAAATTGACCTGATTCCCGATATTATATGTGGTACAACTGATTTTGTTTTTAAGACACAAAATGGGTGTTTGACAAAAAAAAAAAACCAGCATTTTTTCCAACATAAAAATTTTTTTTTTCCTCCGGAACCTGCCTTTAATACACTGATGACATAAATAATTTTTCAGTGTTTTTTTAATTATCGTTAGGCTATTTACAGTATGAGAAGGCGGTTCAATATGTCATTCAACAAGGTGCCTGTTGATAATTGCATATTCACTCGCTGATTAATTGAATAATACTGTACACAAATTTCAAGTTTGGAGAAAAGCAGGTAGAAAATTATTTTGTTGAAGTAGACCAATCACCATGCATATACAGTGTCATATCTGGGGTATTAACATGGGTTGTTTGTTGATGAAAGTAATAGTACTCTAGCTCAGGAATGAGACAATGTGAGGTGATTACAACTACTTAAGTGTAAATTTTCTGCAGTGGAATCTTTTGATATGCCTCTGTGAATAGACCGACCCTTGCTTGTTACATAATTTGCTGTATTCAGTGAAAACATTCACAGAATCACAACAGGTGTGCCGGACATGATGATAATGAGGGAAGAGTAGGTATAAAAATGTAATAATGAAATTTAGTTACATTTTTATGCTTTTTGTGGGTAGGTCCTTCTAAGTGGGCAACATAGCAACCACAACTAGCTTTACTAAAAGGCTATTGCTTGTTAATGATGCCTTCTTTATGTACTGATAGATATAATGAATAAATTTTATGATATTTAAAAAACAAGATAAAGTCTTATTGCCTGAATTTAATATTGTATTAAACTACATTTTCTATCAACAACCAGTGACAGGCTAGGAAGGGGACTTAAGCTTACCAAGCCCTGTCAGCCACAACCCATCAAAAACAAAAAATATCCGTCAGCGTAACTGCAGGCTTCATCCTTTTGAACACTGACCACGGGTCCATGCAGCCCCTTTTCTGCAAATCGTGAGACCCCATATCAGACAGCCTTCCTTAAATATATCCTAGTTACCACTGTTCGCATCTGTTCTATAAACATTTTGTAGATGACTCATGTGTTAGCATGAATGTCCAAGAGGCATTTTGGGAAAAAAATGTTTAAAAAATAAACTGTTGGGCTATATCAGGGGTGGGCATAAAAATCGGTCGGAGGGCCAAAGTGAACTTTTGATTTAACACCGAGGGCCGCACCCAAATTTTGATGTTCCAGTGAGCTTCCAAAAACCTCCAATCACTACTTTTACATCACCTTTACTCTCAGTTTTAATGTTACTTTTTATATATTATTGGTGTCAGGCCGTAAAAAACAAGGTGTTTTCTAGCCAATTTTGATTGGTGTGCCGCAAAATTGCTGGTGGGCCGCATGCGACCTGCGGGCCGCAATTTTCCCACCTGTAGGCTATGTAGTGTACAGATAACATTTGGTGGTGGAGGCAGTTTATTGCAAGACAACTTTAATGGTCAGAGGCACAAACACTTTTTGTCAATGGCTATTTCATGAAGATGGTTAATAGATCCGGTATCTGAATGCTTAAGTAACTTGATACAATGCTATGTGCTCCAATCTGTACCCAAGAAACTAAATATCATGATATATGATCATCCTTTTTCTCCCCATCATATACTTCTTCACCTTCTACATCTTCATCGACTATGTCATCTTCAACAGTCTTATCTTTATCCTTTTCCTCATAAAGTCCTAATTCTTGGTTCCGTAGAAAAGCTCTTCTCTTTCTCTCTGGCAACATTTTTAATTCTTCTTGTAGCTGACTGTCCATGGAAGCTTGCTCTGAAGGACTCAAACCAGGACTGTATAAAAATATATTGAAATTATTTGAGTTAATTGCAATACTTATTTTCAGTTTAAATGTTTTGTATCAATTGGTGAATGTTTCAATAACATTGCATCTAGTTTAGCAAACTGTTTGCAGACATTTACAAAATGTTTAGTCCATCTTATGTTTAAGTTCTTATGTTTAATAATAGATCTTATTTTCAGGGTGGTGGGTGAAAGGAACCCCGTAGGGGCAAAAGGACCCCCATCGAGGGTCCCCTGCTTGGACCCTTGTCGGGGAATTTCAAGCAAGGTCCTCCAGGAAAAATTAAAGCTTCAGCCTAAGCTGTCAAATATTAGGGATTATAAACTTGTTTAGTGCGAGCAGCTACCATGTGCCAGCCCTTCCCCGACAGGGGGATGGTACCCCAGATGTGGGGGGGGGGGGACTCTTAACTTTCATGGTTTTCTATCAAATTAACCAATTTTTAAATAAAGAATCAAATAATTAAAACAAAATTTTATTATTTTTTGTTGTAAAAATTCCACAACAAATTAATTTTGTCGGGGACAGGATTGAGAGGATGTACACCAAGACTAGTTTAGATAGCATCCTTATCCAAGAAGACTCGTTTCATAATTAACTGGAAACTTCAATGAGATGTCGGATTCAAACCAGCACCAGCGACAAAAAGAAGCTGGTGTTTACTGTACCCCTGCTGTATACCACTCACCCACACGTCTCTCGTGTGATCTAACAAAGACCAGTGTTTCAACGTGGTATAGCCATAGCTTTTGTTGGGTCTCAGTTTTGGAGACACTCCAAATTTACACCTGTTGGCTGTGCTTACACAAATGAAAACTTTAAAGAAAAGAAATCATCAAATGATTTGATTAATACATATTTACCTTTTTACAACATCTCCACTTTCTCCACATTTGCTACAGACTTTAGCCTCAGTGGAACATTTAATACAAATTATGTGATACGCATGCTTGACAGTCTTCTGTTGACATTTTGTACTATAACAAAATAAACATAAGAAAAAAAAACATTAGCACATGTATATGGCCAAACTCAAGGCCTGATTTTTCCTTTAACATAATTATCGTATATAAAGACCATATACCTTCACAGAGAAGCATCAGTACGAAATATAAGTAGGTTTTAATGGTAAAAGGGATACGCACCATTTCTTTGGTTGGGTAAGTGGTTTGTATTTCTTGTACTTTATCTTCCAAGCTATCACGTCAGAACAGCGAGAACATAACCCTGTGATTTCCATGCTGTTTATCTGTTTGGTTTTCCAACTTGTGTCATGTACATCATTCCGGAATGCAGAACTATTCTTGTACTTTGGGCCTCCAGACTTTTTAGTGTTACCTTTTTGAGTACTCATTCTATATAATAATGTAGATATTGCTTTCAATTGCTTCCAAAACTGTTCTTGCAAAAACTAAAACATGCACCTTATGGGGAAATCCCTCCTGAGCATTGTTTGTTCGAGTTCTAATTGCTCCTCCTATTTTAAGTAACATCCATTATACAAACCGGTTAGATTCAAGTACTTAGTCGATTATATCAAAGAGTATATATGAGCATGTTGTCATTTTAGATATTTAATATAATTTAAATAGTATTTAACGTAATTGAAATATAAATAATAATATTTTAAACACCAAAACGTGTATAAAACCTGTTTCTTTTGTATTATTGGTATTGTATAAATAACGTATACTACTTTTGTGTATAATGGTATCTCCGAATGCGGAAGTAACATTAAGTTAAAACGTCCAAGATGGAAAACAACCAACAAAATAATCAAACGAACCTTAGAAACGTTCAAAATGGACTTACAAATGGGCATACACCCTCGCCAGCAGTTGATAATTCTATATCATTAGAGAATGGAGAACAACAGGAACGAAAAATTACCCAAACAGACCATATCAACAAGAGATTATTGAACTCATTTTTGGATAGGCTGAACGATCCATCGACAGCGCCGCAGTTCCCTACGGTTGAGGCAATCGACACCTCCAACCCTGAAGAATTCAGTGATGCCTAGCTGCTTGGCCTATCTACGCGTGGGCGTGGACTTCCTTATGCCGAGGTGGCATAGAACGTTGATATCAACGTAATTGCATAGCAAGTGCAAAGACTATTATTTGAATAGACCAAACCAACACTTGGATCCGGATCAATCAATCCAGATATTTGGATGCTGCATTGTTAGTTATCATCTTTTCCATCATCATCTGGCATATCTACATTCAACGCTATTGTGTTGTTGACACATGTAGACCGTGGTACATCTTCACAGGATTATTTTTGGTCTAAATCAGAGAGAAGATAAACCACAAAGTCTGAAGAGCTGTTTCCAGTGGGGTCCTTCTGGTAGTATGCCATGTAACCGGGACAATTCTACTCTTTTCCAAACAGTACTGTGTACTCTTTTAACATGCACATGGGCCATATAATTGTACATGGAAGCAACACCTTAAACTTCTCATCTGAAAGACAATGCTTTTCTGATGATTTCAAGATCGACAAGTTTAGCCAAAGAAGATCAATAATGAAATTTGCATAATGTTGAAATGTTGTTGGGCAGGTCATTAAAAACCGTATGCAGATTTACGGCTTTTATGGTTGGGGGAAGAGGGTATAATTCAAAGATATATAACTGAAAGATATGAAAATAAATTAGCTGCCAACATTGTACAACAATGGTTCACTTGTATTTTTTTAGTATTTCATTCAACAGAGAATATTCAATCGAGATTTTATTTTCTGATTGACCAATCTCCAGCCTTTTGTTCATGTGAGCGATGTTAATGTTTTTCAAAGTAACATACATTCCTAGAGTCTGTTTTTTTACACTACTAACATTAAGAAAATTTGCAGAATAACTTGGGATCCCTGTTTTAGTTTTGTAAGTATAGAAAGCTTACAGGAAATACAACAATCAATTATGTGACGTACACCAATATAGGTTTATTTATTTTTATTTATCTGTTTTTCAATTGAGACACATATACTCTGAAAGCAGGACACAATTCATAGATATTTGAAGCAAAAATTGGTAACAAAAACAGGTGCAAATTGTGCTTGTATTATTGCCTTGTTAGGCGAGACTTTTATTCCTTGTTTCGCATACTTATTTTTTTAAGGGTTATCTGAAATTGCAGCTTTTTCGTGGAGGTGGTTGCGCTAATTGGCCAAAAATAAATTTTTATTTTTATTCGAAATAAACAATATTTGCAGTTGGCGTGTTCGCTAAACAAGGTACAAATAAAGTATTGCCTTAAGTAAATTAAAATGTTCTTCATTTACACTCATAAAACTAATAAGGCCCAAAAAGTTGCAAAACAAAATACTGTCAAAAATTCCCACACTAATATTCAATATTGCTATTATGCCTGTATGTCCTAAAGACTGGATTCTTAGCAAGACACATTTCAACTTAAACAGTCCTAATGATATAGGGAGAACCTGAATAACCACTAAGTTCCTCCATTCCACCCTCCAATACAATATTCTATATTGCTCAACATCCATCTTGTTTTTCTTCAACAAAATATGCATTGTATATTTATTACAATAATGGTTCTCCTTCCTGAAGTAATTTTGGGGACAGAAGCAGGAATTCATATATCAAGACTTCTAAATTTGCTTCTAACATGAATTTATCTCGCATTTCAATATGGAACGTTATTGCAACAGACTTTGCATAGTAATTTACATTAGCAACATTCAAATACAGTACAGTACCAACAAATAAAAATACAGTAGAATACTTAATGAATATTGACGCCTTCAATTAGACAAATGCTTAAAAAAATGAATATAGAGGGCAGCCTTAAGATTACTTGTTGGTGGCTGTAGGTGATATCAATCAGTATGCTGTTAAATAGCTATATAAATGTATTTTTTGACTAGAGAGCATCTTTATAGCATCCTTTTCTCAATCCATCTGTTGTGTTCTCGCCCACCACTGGTCACTACACACATGCACAACAAATTAACCTCCTGCAGTGCACTGCACTAAAGACCAATTTTTAAGGGCCTCAACATCCTGCCCAGTGGTGGATCAAGGACTTTCATATAGAGGGTCCAGCATGGGACTTTTACAGAGAAACTATAGACTTTTAAGATAGCGAAACAACAGACCAGGACAATGCACAGAAATGTTTTCTATTAAAATGCTATTGATAAGTGTAAGAGGTTATCTTGCGAAGCAGGTAATTCTAATATACCTATAATTCACAAATTTAGATTCAAACTAAAACAGGCACATGCATAATTTTAAAAAAGTAATTACTGTATATCAACTATATTTATACAAAAGCAAATGAGTATAGTACTGGGCATAAAAGAACACTGGTGGTGCAATACAAAAAGTAAAAAATCATTTTTACATAGAGCCATAGAGTAAGCAATATCTTTTAATTTTCTTGTTTGTTTTTTTTAGAAAATAATTCTTGTCTGTCATTATATTTACAATCACAGGCAACAACTGACATGCTTAGCAGGAGAAAAAAAATAAAATGTAAAATCATTGATTGCTTTTAGAAACCTAAAATCAGGGCCAACTGAACCTTAATTCATTATAGTAAATTCAGACCTCGAAACGGAAAACAGTTTGCACTCCCAGTCGATACCCCTAGTGAATGTGGCCCCAGGGGCTGAATACACACTATAGAGTTCTTCCCCCTTCCCCCTCAACTGGGAATTTGCCAAGGATACAGGAACTACTTTTGGAAAGAAAAAGGGATACACGTTTCCTTCTTTAACAGCTTATAGTCAATCTCACAACTTTATGGCTACTGAGATATTCCTGGCGTCTGCAATAACACGCCATCATACGCAGCCATTGTTGCCTCACGGTTGATCTGGAAGTTCAGAAATGCCTTTGCATAAAACCTGATCGGTATCAGGCCTTTTTTACTCGTACTATCTCCATCAGGTTTGGCTTTCTTGTCTTTTGTCTGGAAATGGGAACAAATATTGGACATGACATTAAGCTTCAAATATTAAACAAACAGATTTTTCAAATATGAGAATGCACAATTCAGTTTTAAGTAAACCTTGCCAGTCTAACAGTTACATAAATATATCCACAGCCTTAAAAGAAAAACATTACTTACAAAAATCTGATACTGTTTCTGCTGAGATGCTTTGCCCTTTGACCCCCTCAGATTCTGCAGTCCCTGCTTCTTTCCAGGAGTGCCATTAATGCCGCTGTCAGTACTGTCTCGGAATTTGAGATACTGTGAGAACTCGCTTTGGTTCTTGAGTGCGAATGTCTTCTGCTGACGCTGTCTTTGCTTATCTGTGATCTGCTTCGCCTCATTCTGCCCGTTCTTTAATGGCTTCACAGGTGTGGCTTGCTGTTCCATCTTTTGAACTTGCTGTTTGCTTTGAGCGTTTAATAGTAGACTATCCAGAGGCGTTTCTGCCACCTTTGGCTGAGATTTTTTTTTATTTACATATTTCTTTAATGATCTGTTAAGAATATTAAGAAAATCATAAGTTCAATATTATTATTACTATTTGAAATACAGTATATATAAAATAGCTTATACTGTCTGAGTATTTAGCTAATAAACAGACTTTATCTCTTACAGTATATCTATAAACTGCAGGTAGAATTGTTGGTGTTTTTATTTTATATTGTGAAAGAAATATTTAGAATTATATTGGATGAATTTTTTTAATATTTTGAACAATGTGAAGCTTTATCAATTCAATCTCAACAGAAGTTTTATCTTCATGGTAAAAAAAAAATGGCCTTGCAGGGGTTGCGCCAGTGCAGGGGTCCAGTCGGGGCGAGTTTTCCCCCCCACCTCATCGGAGAGAAACACACAATTCGTAGGGCAGTGGAAAAAAATATATGTATTCTTCGCATATCAGTAGACACTAAAATCGATTAAATAAGCCTTTAAAACCCCTAAATTGTCATAGTTTTCAGGGGCTTCGAACCATGAATCACTTCGAAGAGATTCTGAGCAAACGCCCGATCACGCCCACTTACACATTCATCAGGGAGTTAGGCCCTCCCCCCTTCCTTCGGGCAAATCCTGGCACCACCCCTGTTGACTTGCATAGAATAAGAACCTTGGACCATGGGGATTAGAAGCCAAGCACCTCAACCACTAATATCCAGCTTCACTCCAATAAAACAATTCATCATGCAACAATTTAAAAGACACTTACTTTATGAAAGGCATGACCATAAAGAAGTTGTTTTGATTCAGGCCCAGGTTCACTCTGGGTGCATTGTCTTTCTTATGTGATGGCAAGTCATTTAGGTTAAACCATTTAATTTCCTGAAAGATGGAATATTTATGTAAATAAAAAAACATGGTAGTAATATTAACAATACTTAATGATACAGTAGTAATTTAGTAATGTCTCATTTCTGTTTTCAACTATCAAAAGCAGAACAGTATATTATTATCGTCAAATACTATAGTCATCATTGTCCTCGTTATTTTCAAAATCTTTCACTAATATTAACATTATCAAAACTTCATAAAATACATACTGTATTATTTGAATAAACACCCCGGGGCATTTATTGTTGGAAAGGGTTTGTGAATTACCGTCAAAATGTGTTATTGCATGATCATAAAGACGTATTGAACCCAACCAGGTTAGAAAAAATGTATTCTACTTGAGTAGAACAATTACATTAATAAAATGTGTTGAGAATGATGTTGCTTACATTAGTTTTGTCTAGTCATTTAGAAGGAGTGTTTATTTGAGGACAAACTATACACGCCAGGGCGTTTATTCGAGGGGGGCGTTTATTCAAAGCGGGTGCGTTTATTTGAATACAATAATATAAAACGTGCATTTAAAATTTGGCAGACATTATATTAACTCTAAACATGGTATACAAATAAAAATTGTTTTAACAATCTCCAACCTTGATTTCTCCCCTAGTTTTTGGTTGAAATGAAGTATCATACGGAACACCTGTTATTATGTACAATCTTGACACTTGATCGTGAATTGTCAACTGTATGTATTCCTTCTCATCTATCAATTCATTTATATTAAATCCAGTCTCCTCCATCACCTGCCAACACGGAAAATGTTTAAATTAATTAAATATTTACTTACTGTAGCAACAACACAACGGTATTTAACGGCTCAATGTTGAGCTGCATGGTCAAAATATACTGTACATCTGTAACTGTGGATTAAGCTATATGAATAACAATGAGTTAATGGCAGTATGTAGTGGAAACAAACTTACCTCCCGTATTGCACACAAATGTGGAGCTTCCTCCTCATTTACCTTTCCTTTTGGAAACCCCCAACTTGATTTTGACCAAAAGCCTTGAACCAAGAGGACCTGTAATATATTGAAGTGATAATGGTAACTTGAATAAATACACATGATACACAACTAATAGAAAAATAATTAATTAATTTTAGTTTTGTATTCAAGAGGTAACAAATTTTTAAACCATTAAAAACACTTTTTTTTTTTTTTTTTTTTACAAATTTGTGGGGATCTCTTGTTTGCAATTTTTAGGATTTTTGGTGCCAGTATATCATTAATTGGAAAATTGTACAATTATGGTAAGTACTGTAAATTTGTAATGTGTATTTTTATACAATATTTTTTGCGCCATAAAAAAGTGAGGTTATTTACATTTGTCGACATACAGGTCTCCCTCTAATTAAAAGACCGCTGCAATTTTCTTTGGTCCCATATTAACAAATGTCTTTTATCTTTTTTATTCTAATTAGAGACCAAAGGTCTATAATTGGAGGGAGTCCAGTATTTCACTTTAAAACTGAGTGATGAATCCATTGTGGTTTATTATAGTAAGGGTGTGCTTTGTAAACGGGCTTTTTATTGTTTCGACATTTAGGCAATGATTACATGTTGCAAATCCTTATCCATGATGATGGCGCCATAGGTGGGTACGCTCATCTTGTACTGTTTCCATTCTGCTAGGATTTCCTCAGTTCGATCTGCATGGTCTATCAGATAAGGACAGCTCTGGAAAAGTGCAAAGAGTTAAGGGAAAAACTGGAGGAGAAATAAAAAATTTTAAATGTATTTTCTTCTGCTTATGTTTGTGTTATTTTAAATTATTTGTTCAATGAGGCCTATGAATATTTTTGGTTATATGTTATGTTCATAAATCAAGCAATAAATTTGAATTTAATTAAGGTAACAAACAACAATATTTCTTCTGCAAGGATATTTGCTCGTGCGAATTCTCCAATCCTGCAACCAGGAAGACTTGGCCTCTCAGGGCGGTAGAAGTCCAGGTAAAACCAATGCGCAAGCTCCACTTGAAAGCATACCCTGATTAAGTTGTTGCGTTCTACTGATGGAACATTAAGAAGGAAGCGTCTGATAAACAGGAAAAAAATGACAAAATATTTATTACTCTGAATTGGTACAAGGTAAATATAGTATTACAAGTATCTACGGTACTGCTACTGTCACAAGCCCTACACATATCCTTGCCCTTGTTTTCATATTTATACTTTTAACAATAACAAAACAATACATAGAGATAGGCCTCCACAGGCTACATACAGTAATTTCAAAGAATTAATAATGAAGGTTATCTTACGATATCAAGTCGATAAGAACGTCTTCTGGTATGTCTGGCACAGCTTCCATTATTAACTAATCAACGATTTATATAAACTGAAAAAATTTGGTCAAATAAACTCATTTTTATCGACATCAAAACTGGAAATCCCCAGCAGTAGGACAACCAGTGTTTTTTTTTTGTCAACAATTCTTCGTAACCTTGTGATCTGTAAATAATTTGATAATTAATATTTTTTTAAAGCCTTAAAATGTTACATATTAAACAAATTATGACCTCAAAATATAATTTATTTATAAACAGATTATATTTTCGTGAAAAAAATAATGTAACTAATTATTTTTTTTAATTATTAGTAAATAAAATAACACATCCACAAAGTCTAAACAATTTCCAAGATGTCAGCTCCCATGTGAACCAATTTTCACAGACGTTCAGCTGAACTTCATCATCGATTTTTAAATTTTCACTAGCTTCGTATAAATTATTAGTTGATCATATTAGTTGTTTTTATATAATGCGGTCAACAAGTTATTTACGACACATTTTCTGTAACCTTATTCGAGCTAGGCCTAGTCTACAGCATTTCTGTGACACTGGAGGGCCGAGAATGGATGATGGTACTCTGTTGGTGTGGTCCATGGTGTGGTCTAAGCAGATGTCTAGGCCTAGACATATTCAAGTTCGTTTTCACGCAGATGCTACTAGTCACTCACTGCGGCATAATAATCAGTTACAAATCAGTATTAAAAATTTTAACACATCTTACTTAGGCCCCCTAGGCCAAAGCCTGATCACTTTGCGGATTTATCATAGTCCTACATCAATATTTATAAGAAGAGTGTCAAGAAAAAATTACGACAATTTTGATTCCATAATGGAGAGAGAATTCAAGAAAAGTCTCGACGAAAACTTAGATTATGAGGATAAAAATCCAAAAGAAATTTTAGAGAAGATTTCACGGTAGGACCTCATATACAGTTATTTTGGAATAAATAGTATATTTATATATTTTTTTCAATTAGGGCCTACTGTGCTTTCTAGTCAAAACGGCAATAAACCAAAACGGCAATAAGTCAAAATGGCAATAAACCAAAACGGCAACACTTTTTTTACCAGAAGAGCAATAAGTCAAAACGGCAATAAACCAAAACTGCAATAAACCAAGTAAATAAATAAAACTTGAAAATACAGACAAAATGAGGCTAAAACAATTTATGTCATAGAAGTAAAAAAACAGGAAAAAAACATTAATAACAATAATAAAAATAATAATAATATGAATATTAATAATATTAATATAACAACATACAAATTCAATAATAGGATTGGGGAAACACAGAATAAGAGCAGTAAACATTTAAATAAATAGAACTTTCTTTAAAGTACGGACAAAATGAGGCATCTAAACATTTTTGTCATGGATGTGTAAACAATTTTTTAAAAACGCGATTAAAATAAAAATAAGAATAATAATAATATTAATATTAATAATAGGTCTAATAATGATAATAATAATAATAATGTGTAAAAAATATTTTTAAAAACCAAGGTTAAGCATTAAAAGCGAGAAAAAGAGCCCATGGCAATATACAATTTGCCTACAGACGATCGTCCCGATTTCCAGACAATTCAGAAAATAAACTGTGGCCCACGTCAGGTGGCGCTTGCCCTTGATTTTGCTCCTTTGCTGTTTTGGTCTATGCCTATAATTGGTACTTGTCTTTGCCATTTTGGTCTGTTGCCTTTTTGGTACTTATCATTGCCGTTTTGATTGTTGCCGTTTTGGTCATTGCCGTTTTGGTTTATTGCCGTTTTGACCTGCTACCCCTATTGTAGGTAATTAACGCTTTAAATAATTATTGCACTTGGATGAGTTTTAATGTAGAGTAATTATTATTTTGAAGATTCTGTTAATTGTTTGGTTTCACTCTGTCAGTTTCGTTTGAGTGCAGTAGTGGATAGTATGCATTATAAGTCTAAATATTATTATTAATTGTTTGCGTATTGTTTATTGCAACAGGGATCAGATTAGGAGACAGAAAGCTATGAGGTATAACAGGATACGCAGGCAGTTTCCACAGACAAAGGCACCAAGACTGCTGACATATGACATGATGGAGCAGATACGCTTCCTCTTCCAAGAGTATCCTGAAGATTGGGATGTTCCCCGGTTGGCAGAGGGCTTCAGCGTCACAGAGGACACCATCAGAAAGGTCCTGCATAGCAAGTTTGTGCCATCTGAAAAGAGAATTGCAAAGATGAATAACAATGCACTAAAGAATCGCAGTCTTTTAATAGATGATGCGAGGAGAGTGTTTGTTGATACAAGCAAGTATTTACCTGAGAGATCTCCCAGATTTCCAGCTGTCAAAGAACTGAAGCAGGAATCAGCGGAGGATGAAGTAAGGAAGCCATCTACTAAGTATCTTGATGAAGGTGAAAAAGTACCAAGGAAAACATTAAAAACTTATAAAAAGTCTAGAGAAAAGGATTAATAAATTATATTTATTCAAATTAATGCCCCGCTTTGAATAAACTCCTCCTCTAGACCCTCATTTGGAATAATCACCTCTTTTAAATAAACGCCCGAGGCGTTTATTTTTTTCTGGAATAAACGCCCCCAAAATGACTAAACAGCATTTATTTGAGTACTGTATATACGTATCAATTTTACACAAAAAAAATAAATGCTTCCCTCAAATAAATGACCCCTCAAAACCCTTCTGGACATTAAACGCCTCAGGGTGTTCAATGGAATAAATACGGTAATTATAGTGTATATCACCCCAGACATTCATACTTCATTTCTTTCACACCAGTTAATATTTACATAATACAAACACCAAGGATTTTATGATACATTTTCTATTTTCTTGTTTAAATGTAGCAACTACGTGTATTCTGTTGGTAGTTCTATTCAGCATCCTTTACATAAATAATTTGTGCTCAACAATAACCTGTAACTTCCTTTACACTCATTAATACATGATTAATGGGTTTTTTTTTTTTTGTAAATTACAATTTGAAGCAAGTACATCAAATTATACAATTACAAATGTAAATGATAGCAATATTCCAAACATTCATCATTTCTATTTACATGTAATGGCCCTGTTCCCATTCCATGTGTGCATCGTTCCAATTATAAATTGTCAAATTATTAAGATTTTTAAATCAAATCATGGTGCTATATTTTTGTTAAACTGAATGTACTGTCTGTATGCTGTACAGTAAACATATTAATGAATAAGTAAGCTTGATAGATATATTGAATCGGTCAGTACAAGTTGATACTTTATGTATCTTGTGTATTATAGTCTCTCCCACTCTTTTTACAATAAACTCTAAACCATTTTGTTATAACGCTATAGTGTAATTACCTTTATACTGTATATAAATTTTGAACATTAAAATCTTGCTAAACTAGGATTCGAACACTGGACTGCTATCTCTGCAGATGCCTTACTTGGATGGGCCTGTAGGTCTTTGTTGGGAATTCATATCTGATTACAACCATTTTGATTTTAATAGATAAATCATAATAGTGCTCAAATATAACATGCAGTATGATGTGATAATTGTATGTTATGATTTAACATTTTTTTAACTTGTTGAGAAGGGTTTTTGAGGGGGTGTTTATTAGAGGGGGGCATGAATGCTTTTGGTGTAAAATGGATGCGTATATACGACCCTTTTTTTCTATGTAAATGTGGAACTACAATACATAAATACCATCAAAATGAATGATTGCATGAATCCAAAAGACCTATTAGTCCCAAAAAGGTTTAAAATGTTATTCTGCTATAGCACTGTAGAACATTTAATAGAATGTGTTGAGAATGTTATTTCCATTAGTTTTGTTTACAGTCATTTAAGGAGGATGTTTATTCAAGGAAAAATAAACGCCCCAGCCCGGGGCATTTATTTGGGGGGAGGCATTTATTCCAAATGAGACTCTATAGGGGGAATTTATGTGAGGGGGACATTGATTCAAAGTGGGGCACTTATTCAAATTCTTTGATAATACTGTACAGTATACCATTCGCATGTAAATTAAACTACACAAAATACTGCCATGCAATGTAAACACGAGTCACTTGTCGGACTTACTTAGCATGAGAATTTCTGCATTGCCAAATGTATGAGTCACTTGTTGACATTCACAGCGATGTCTGTAATACAGCGACAGCTAAAAATGATTTAAGTTTTACATCAACTTTGACTTACGGACTAACAATCAATGGAAATCAATTTGGCATGTAAAATGTTGTTCGACTTTCGTTTTATTCAACTTAAATTTATTCGAGTTAGAGCAAATATTAACCATTGTAAATATAGGGAAGATGAAGTGACATGAAAATAATTTCTACTTTGACAATTTTTGTTTGACTGTATTCTGTAAAACCAATAGGCTTAATCTCGAGAATAGACAATTTTCACCAAGAATGTCAATCCCTCTGCCTCCTCGTCTAAATTTGCTACTATTCTTTCGTCTTATAATGTATCTTCATTATAAGTTGGACAGAAATTTTGTATTATTAGTTTACATTCTAAGATTGACAAAAACTCAAATCATCCCCTACACACTTTCTTTCCTCCACGCCGTAATTTGTTCCATCTCTGTTAAAAACTCCCGCCATTCCCAATTTCTTCCTTTTTGTGGTTGTTCATTAAGGTTCTTGTCATCTTTCTTTTCAAATGCAATTAAAATTGCTAACAACCTTTGTTTATTTCCTCCAATGATATTATTAAATTAGGCATTCTAAACCAGTAATGTTGGGTATATATTGTGTTGATTGCATACATGCGTTGTTTATGAGTGGATAATAAATAGCCATCGATGGCTTTCGAAACAATGACAATCTTGAATCTCCATTAAAGCCCCTCTTTAATTTCCAAAAGTAACCTCAAAAAAGAAGCTCATGAACTTCTTTCCGAGATAGTACAGTACATTATACACTGTACATAAATTTCAAAGAAACAAAATAAATTAAACACACGGTTTAAACAAAGTTTAGATGATTTAATGCCAGTTAATACACTCCATGATACAGATTGATGTTACAGTGGCCCTATTGTTTTATAGTAGAAATAATTCCTAAAATTTCAGCATTCATTTTGAAAAGAAGCCCCCGCTCTTTGCTTTGCAAAAGTAGCCTTGAAAAGAAACCCATCTAAAGTTTGTAAAGCCCAGGGTTTCTATTTCAGGTTTTATGGTATTTAAATCATGTAGCAATTATTAATACTTAAGTTTACTTAAAGTACTGTATGCAATTCAAATATTGAATTTTATTCTTCAAATGTTCTACTCTTAACTAAACACACACTGTGCAGTAATCATTCATATTTTTAAGATGGCAATGTTAAATGAACATAGCTCAAATATACAAATTCAATAAGAGTTTTTACCTGGTTTTGGCAATTTTAACTACAGGTATGTAATTAATTAATTTTTGGTTTTTGGAAATTTGACAATTTATGCCCTTAACATTAACAATTAACATTCAAACAATAACATTTATTACCACTAGGTTTTTATGGAAATATTTGAAGAAATATTTTCATTAAAACACATCACCTAGAATCTCTTAAAAGTTTTACTATTTTGAAAAGTCTGGCCAACCACTTGGCAAGTTGGTTATCTGTTCTAAGAATGAAGAGGTAGGCCAACAGTACAACTACCAGCGTGACGAGGAACCCGATACCATCAAATATGTACCGCGGTGCAAATATCTTCCAGATCATTAGGTGCCGTCGATGAACTGCTGCCGAGAACATGCAACCAAGGAGCTGACAAAAGATGAAATGCCATTGTTATAAAAATTATGGTATACTGTATTCTTTTAGCTCATAAAATTCTACAATTTTCTATTAAAGCACTTGCAGGTGAAGGCCAATTGCCACAAATTTGATTGTAGATTAAGTGCATGCATGGTTTATCCAATTTGAATCACAATCCACAAAATGTACACTGTATGCAAATGGCGTCTCAAATGAAGTTGAAGAAATTGTAGATAGATAATTAAAATTATTGAGTTGTTGGTTACAATTATTACGATACAATTCTATGATGATGATTATACAAATACAAATACTCTTTAATCGCAATATGCAAATTACAAATGATAAATTACAAATTGAAGTTTGACAAAATGATTTTAAAAAAAACGTTAGAAATGATTTTGAACTCATCATCAATAAAACTTTTCTCTTAATTTTTGTTTAAACAGTACTACACAATGCATGTAATTAAAGATGTAGGATGTATGAATATTTATTACCTTGCAGCCATGGAACAAGATATAAAGCATCACCAATCGGAATAAGCCAATGCGTAGTTCTGTGCAGTGGTCCCGCAAAACAACCTCTCCCTCATTGTCAGAATTCTTCTTATCTGCTAACTTCCCTCTTGAGAATGGCCATAAAAGGACCAATGGAAGAGCCAGACCGAAGATGATATTAGAAGAAAATGTATTTGCACCAATCAAAACTGCTGGGATGAAGTATAGGTAGACAGGAAAGTCACCATTAAAACCAACAAACCCGGCTTCAAAGCGAATTGATGGAAACGTGGCATGGTGACCAGTAACAAAGAAGAACTGGGAGGCCATTAACCCCCAGCCAAACACAGCATACCAAGTAACATGCAGTAGTGCTGCAACGATAATTAAAAAAAAAAAGAAGAAAATCTATATTTAGTATAGAATCACAGGCAAGTTTCTAAACGAAATATTTGTTAGAACAATCCTAACAAGTTTAAACATGTTCGCTGTCAGTACCGAGTATACTCGTCCCACAGGGCGTTGTTGAGCGCGCTGGGGACCGCTATACTCATCAAAACCAGGGTAACATTCTACCGTTTATTACTTCATTGTTATACATTGTAGAACTAGACTTCTTATAGTTCGGGGAAGATGCACTTAGACAATAATGTACAAATAACGTATGTGTGCTTGTCGTAAAAAGTAATGTCCCACTGCCAGCAAAGAGTTTACTCATCCCCTAACATTTTCCCGTCAATTTATTAGACACACCATTTTGATATGTGACTTGATAACATTTCAAGAAAGTATGTCTGTACATGCATACTTGTTTTGGCACACGGGACAAAACCTAAAAAAAAGGTCTGGCAGTGAACGTGTTAAACAAACACTAGAAACCATACATTAACATTTCTAATTTAAAAGGAAGTTTGAGAAACCATACATTAAACATTTATAATTTAAAAGGAAGTTTGACAAACTTATTTTTTTAAAAGCACAATTACCTACTGTATTATTGTCATAACTTACCCATTTTTTTAAGCTCGGGTAAAGCACTAAATATTTTTAGCTGTGCATGGCGAATGCATGCCACAAGTTCAAGGTACAGCAACACCTGTACACACACTAATGTTAATGCAGGTGAGAATCCATCACCTAGCAACATGGAGAGGACAAGTATAACGGTTGCAATTAACTGCAGAAGACAAGCAGAATAGGTTGTCGCTAAACCAAACACTGCCGGTGTTTCTTGGATTTTTTCATGTGTTACAGTTGTAGCTTGCTTTCCACGTCCATTCTGGTTTTGAAAACTTGATTTAATGTAATCAAAGAGACGAGGAACAACCTGATCATCATGTTCACCTTTGCTGTGGAATTTGTGTTGGTGTTTCTTTTCACGCTCAAGAATATGAATCAACAAAGGCTGCCAGATTATTGATACGATGGAAATGGTTGAGAGAACATACACACACTTTGCTAGAAATGTTTGCTGCCACATTGGCAATTTATCAAGAACTTTTTCTGGCAGAGACATGAGACCCCAATGAAAGAATATAAAAACAGATATTGTTGGCAATGCATACTTGATACATACACTAGCAGCAGAACTTCCGTTCAAGTTCCCTTGCTTCTGTAACCAGAATTTTAAAAGAAATGGAATCAAACAGATGCTTACAACTGCTTTAATATAACGAAAATTATTGTATGTGCTGTTCTCAGGATCAAAAACAAGTAGTGGTTGCAAGAGATCTGATTGGGAGCATGGCACTTGTTCTTCTCGACATATCCTAAAGTGTGATGATAACCGCACACACGCTTGAAAAGCTAATAACATGTATGTGACTATGGCAACAGGGTGCGTCAATATTCGACCAATGTCGCGAGATTTAATTCTTTTAAATTTTATTAAGCTTCTTATACCTGATATAAGATACACTAACAAGACGATAAATTGAAGTAGAAATACTGCTGTCCTGTCTTCATACACAACAAAACTATTTGATGTTAGTGACACCACATAAAGAAACAGCAATCCAGAAGAACAAAGTGATTCCTTTGGTGTATGTTTTATGTATAATAAAACATCAGACATACATGGCATTCCTTGAGTCTGAAGAACACATAGAAGACTCCCAAGAATGGAACCTAATGCAGGAAAAAACAACAGGATCGTTGTCTTGACTGTCATTAAATCTTCCACCTGGCTTGTGATTATAACGCTCATGGGAAATATTGTTATCATACCAGTTAACATGTTTCCTAAAAGAGAATTTAGGGTATCCTCAATCTTTTCTCTGTCTTTAATTCCGTCCACAAAGTTGAGAACTACCCACACGGCCACACAAGTGCTGACAGTGAGAACTACTCCACATGCCATTGACAAAAGATCAAACTTAGCCCAGTTACCACGGCACATCTCTTTGACACCTGAGAGGTATTCCATGTACATAGCTGTTGCACCATCTATCGCAATTTTTACTTCTTCATCATTTAGGTTCTGTTGTAAATTGTGAAACAGTGTTTCTGCATTGGCAAACTTCTGTTCTAATATTGCTGAAATATGGTATGGGAACTCATCCACCTTTCTTGAGTAGGAATCCAGATAACGTTTCACTTGAAAACTGTTAATCCTCAATGCTTCCATCCTCAGGTATGCTGGATGATATTTTGCTAACAACAGTGAAAGGTGGTCCAGTACTTCAGGAGATTTTCTATCAGCACCAAACATAAAAAGCTCAGGAATGACCATTCCTAGGTTAGAGAATGGAACAGGAATTCCTAGAAGAAGAGACAAACTTGGGACCAAGTCAATCTGGGATATTGATCGGTAGGCATTCTGTAGATTAAAAAAGAACATAGAAATTAAATTTCTTTCTAGTAAATTTGTGTTTCATATCATCAAGCATGATATTTATACTTTCATATATTCGATCATTCAATTCCACATTTTTAACAAAATACAAACCATTGCCAATCCAGGGTTAAGCTTTCTGAGATCTTTTTGACTGTAGATAAAGAGACCCGCTGTAAGCTCGTCATTACTATCACCACCGTGGTCTCCAGTACCTGTCATTCCGTGGTCACCAAAAACTAGTAGCAGTGTATCGTTGTCCATGTTTTCTACCACCGAACTTTGGGTAAAATTAGGGAAAATATCTGTGTTAGTTCATTCTGACATCCAAAATAAAGGAAAATAACTACAGTAAAGTTTAATTTAGGATTAAAGATTTAAGCATATACCTAATTACATCATTCATCTGCGAGAGCTTCTCCCCCATTGCAGAATGGTATGGGCCATATCTATGACCACAGTGGTCAACACCAAGGAAGTGAGCTATCAGGATATTCCAATCAGACTGATTAATTTCTGGCAGAAGGTGTTTCATGATTCCATTGTCCACTGAATGTAAATCCTTTACGTTGAATGATGGAAATGGAAAAGATTTCGCAAATTTACCCGCAAAAAGTGACTCCCACGTATCATCGCCCATGAATGTTATATTTTTCCCTGCTTTCACCAACTGGTGAATTAGGTTATCTTCCTCAACTTCCGAACTCGCAAAGTTGTTTCCCACATCAACAAATGTTGGTAGGCTCCCTGTGGTAAGCCCCTTTAGGCGTTGCATTGTCGTTGTTGGTGGATCAGCTAAGAATTGATAAAGAAGAGAATGAGATGGTTTCTTTTCAATTAAACTTTGTATAATTGGTAGCTTATTTTGAAATGGCAAAGTTCCCGTTGCATCAAGAGATTCATTAAATAAAAGAAAGTCGTAACGAAGAGCGTCAATAAGAAGTATTATAGATTTGTTGAAACGATCCTGCGCAGTACACATATTATCGATATGAAATTGTGATCCTAGGCCTACGTGTGGGGTGTCCCCATATGCATCGTCTGAGAAGAGTCCTCCTTCTTGTGTCCTCATCGAGAAAACCGACTGTTCCTCGAGCCTGATCGAACAGTCACTTTTGTTAGGAATTTCTAGCCGTTTCAATAAAAATCCTTTGGTAAAAATAAATATGCTTACAGCATACAAACACGAAATCCACATTAATATGCAAAACAACTTCGTTCCTACCGCCATTTTAACTAAATTTGAATTAATCTAGGCCTAGGTTAAGAGACATCTATCTTATTCTTAGCCACTTCTCTCACACGGGATATGACACACACATGGAGCATAATTGCTGCTGACTTGCCAATTAAGGATATTCGCACGGCCGTCGATTCAACTGCAATCGAGATCCAGGAATTGTTTCCCACACCATTCTTCAGTATTTTGTCTATTTATATACGTACCTGTATACTGTCAATATGAATGAGTGAAGGAAGTACATTAGTAGAGTACAATATTATAATACCTCCATGGTCAGAGATCTATCGTGACAATAATTATTACTAATTATTCGCACGGTATTGTGCGAATAGTCTCTTCCATTTTGTCTTTGATTGAGTTCAAATATCAAATATCAGGTGCTTTTGTACAAGATTGAGATTGAGGTAATTGTTGTCGATGAGTAGGATTAGCTTAGGCCTCCTAGCTCTAAACTAGTTGTTTGTTTGTTTATTGGTTTTATGTCAAATGTCGAAAAGTCTCATAACTCAAGATATTAAAGTCAGGTATTTGTCATTCATATAATCGTTAAGATTTCCCGTACCGTACTTCTGGCCTATCTTATTCTTAGGCTAGGCCTACTACTAGGCCTAGGCCTAGGCCTAGTAGTAGTACTATTACTACTAGCTAGCTAGGTAGTCTCGCGTGCGACATGGATTGGGGTAACGGACGATCGGGCGAATTTCCATACAATTTTGGGCGCTAATGCTCTTTCGCACTTAACTTTTAATTCTTAATTTTTTTACGTTAATTTTCTTTTCATAGTCACAACACATAATTATAAAACATTTTTACATGATTCAACCACTCATAAAGTACATTTTTCAACAAAAAGATATAGGTTGATACAGGGTTTCCGCGTTTGCTAGCACGACGAGCTGTACTTTTTTGCAATCAAGTAAGAAATTGCCAGAATGTCTGAGTCAATTCATAAATTTTGAAACCATTAAAGGCCAGTCTTATAATTTTAATTGGAATTTGACCATGAAACATATCCGACAACAAAATGTGTCATCATGCAGTACCGTCTTTTTGAACTTTCTTGTCGTAATCGAGGTTAATCGAACCGACGTTTATCATTGGCTTTGATAGTTGTTTTTCTGGATTTAGGCCTAGGTCCCTAAGCCCTATTTTTCTATCTGTGTACGCATTTGGATCATTACTAATTTTTGAAGTAATTATTGTGCGTGTGAATTTCATGTGAACACACATAGTCAAACAACAACACCATACAATATAAAGAATGACATACAAACGTAAATAGATAAGTTTTCATAAACATTTAATAAAAGAAATTCACGCTGCAAACTCAGACATTCTGGCAATTTCTTACTGATTGCAAAATGGCAGCCGCTCGTCGTGCCAGCGAACACAGATTCGCTGTACTTATTTGTGGGCTTATTAGTTGAAAAAGGTACTTTGTGAGTGGTTAAAT